AAGCCATTGGTCTATAGCAGGCAGCATGGTGGCTGAGTGGTTAGCCCTCTCGCATCTCAGCAAGAAGGTCCTGGGTTCGAATTGGGGTCGGAGCAGGGCCTTTCTGAGTGGTGTTTGCATGTTCTCCCCGTGTCTGCGTAGGTTAGGTTTCTTCTGCTTGCTCCGGTTTCCTCTATCACTAAAAACATGTACATTAGGTCTGGCATATGCACCTCCTGTACCGCCGACCTCGCTCCCATCTCTGTGTGGAGAGAGACAAATGCCCATAATTGTAAAGTGCTTTGTGACTCTGGTCTGTGAAAGGCGCTATATAAATAAAGATTACTTACTTACTTTCTTACATAGGGAGCGGGAAGACTGTCATTAACGTCCTGGATCATCACTGCATCTGCATGAAACAATTACAAAAAAACCCAGTGAGAAGAAATGTGGGAAACCTCAAGGAGACAGAGAGGGATCCGCTCCCACAGATGGACCGGCTGTAGATCCAGGATAGCACTAGCTTGGTCTTAAATTCATAAAGCTCCGGTCAATTATCGAAATGAAAATGTAAGGATGGTGTGGTAAGTAAGTAAGTAAGTAATCTTTATTTATATACCGCCTTTCACAGACCAGAGTCACAAAGAACTTTACAATTGTAGGCACGGTGGTTGAGTGGATAGCACTCTTGCCTCTCAGCAAGAAGGTCCTGGGTTCGAATCCCGGTTGGACCAGGGCCTTTCTGAGTGGAGTTTGCATGTTCTCCCCGTGTCTGCGTAGGTTTCCTCCGGGTGCTCCGGTTTCTCCTACCACTAAAAATATGTACAATAGGTCTGGCATGTGCCTCCTGTACTGGCACCCCACTCCCAAAAATAACAATTGTAAACCGCTTTGAGACTCCGATGTGCAGTGAAAAGGCGGTATATAAATAAAAGCTTACTAAAAAAAAGCTTACTTACTAATTGTTATTTATTTGGGCATTTGTCTCTCAGTCCACACAGAGATGGGAGCGGGGTCGCCAGTACAAGAGGCGCATGCCAGAACTATTGTACTGGCATGCGCATATAATAGTGGGACCAGGCTAAGACAGTATCAATTGTTTTTCAAATTTGTGCAGTTCACAATCATCCAAAACACTCTTCTTTGTTTGCTAGGATCATATTTTGACCGGTCCTACCTGTTGAACATGTGTGGCCATAGTTTCATACGTAAACCAGATCCATCAGTACTGTGACGGAGACCTCTGGGAACACCAGGTGCCACAGTGGGGCGGCTGCGGCTGTAAAGTGCCAAACTGCCGTTGTGTCCTTAGGCAAGACACTTCACCCACATCCAGAATGAGTCTGGTGTGTGTATGAATGGTTGGTGGTGGTGGGAGGGGCCGATGGCATGTTGATAGCCTCTCTTCTGTCAGTGTGCCCCAGGGCAGTTGTGGCTACAGTAGTAGTTTATCATGGAATGTGAAGTCCATCCATCCATCCATCTTCTTCCCCTTAATCCATTTCTGGGTCGGGGGGTAGTGGCAGTCAGAGCTACACCCAGTACACAGAACACCAGCCCCTCACTGATCCTCCTGCAGGTGCTGAGTCCACAGGCGGATGGCTGCTCTGACAGTGACGATACAGCCTTGATTTCTCGGAATGTGAAGTGTCACGAGGAAATACAATGACAAACAGACAAGACAAGAGAAATTAACAAACAGACAATTATAATTTTGAATGTCAATTTATTGTTTCGTTAATACGTGGTACCAAACCAAAATCTTTCAGTCCACTCCCAGTTTGAGCCGAATCCAAGACTTCTGATTTCTAGCCTATAACTTTCCAACAACACATTACTTATCACCTACAGCGTCATAACAACATACTGCATTCTGGTAGCTTATCATTTGTTACTACTTAGCTCAGTTATAGTTACATCAGTGGTGTCCAAACTTTTTAGTAAGATTCAGATTCAGATTAATTTATTTGCCATTTGCAGTAAAACCACATTGGAAAAACTGTGCAAGACTACCCCAAGTGTGCACCAGGACAGAGGACAAGAGGACAATCTGGATTTAAAAAACTGGATTCGAGCTGGATTGACTGGATTCTAGAATTGAAAATAGGTTGTGAATACAGCCTTATTAATTCACACTACAGCTGCATTTTATTTGGAATGTTGTGACACAATCATAAAACAAATGTCTGTAAATAACAATAGAGTCAACCGCTGGATTCCAGAGGGTCTGAGATGTATAGAAGGTATAACGTGAGTGTATTAGTGGAGCTGAAGTTTGTTTTGATGACACTGTCAAAGTGGCTCAATGGCGACTTTGTGTTAGCAGCAGAGGGCCACAAAGAATTGGCACAGAGGTGTTGGACATGCCTGGGTTACATCAACTCTTTGGATGCTGTGGCTGCTTGCTCCATAGACTGTGGATGGCTGAGACTAGTTTGACTCTTACATAACCAATATCTCAGACCTCTCTGTGACTCGTTGGGACAGGGCTCCTCTCCTGGTGTCCATGTCCCTGAGGCTATACTCTGGTGCTTGGTTGCTTACTGGTGCAGACACAGAGACCAGGAGGAGGAGGAGAAAGAGGAGGAAGAGGAGGAGGAAGAGGAGGAGGAGATGCAGTGATGCTAAAGCTGGAGCAGAGGAGGCAGAGTGGGCTGAAACTAACTTCATGTGGAGTTCCCTCAATAGAAACGTGTCTTCCACCCACAGCCACAGGGTTTTTACAGATATTTATCAGCTGTAAATCTGCTCCATGTGGCCCTGGTCTAACTCTTGCACAGAGAATATGCAAGAATATAATTTTTTATACTCTTTTTATGGGACTTAAACATGTATGAAACATCTACAAACCTGATATATACTTGTCCCGGAAAAAACATAGCCTCCTGGTTATTGGCATGGACCATAATCTCACAAAATATTGCTTTTATTCACTTTTTTGTGTGTCCATTGTCACTTTACCCAGTCTCTTTAGCCCGTACCCTCAGACTGCTAACATGTACAGATATATACAAACAGCTATGTATTCCTCACAATAGAATATACAGTATTTTACACGTTCTTCTTTATTACGCTAAAGATAGAGATTTTATTTTATTTTATTTTAATCTCAAGTTATTATTCATTTACCTTGTGCTTTGTGCTCCTCATTCCTACTGATCTGTAACTGCTGACATTTTCCCACTGTGAGACAAACAAAAGGATCTCCTAATCTTAATCTGTGTGTTCCACTAAATACCAGAAATAAAAAATCATATCATTTCTAAAAGCCAAAAAAGATTATACAGTTTGCCCGCCTATTGAAAGTATACATGTGTAGCCTTTTCTGTTAAAACTTTTTGTGTGGAAGTTTGCAAAGCCGTACTGTGGGAGTGAACATAGGACAGGGTTTGCAGAAGGTGCTGCTGCTGCTGATGGAAAAAAGGGAAAGCTTGATTTTAACGAGTGGCGTGTTTCTCCGCGCCGCCCACAGTCCCCCGTTCTGTCTCTTTGTGGGCGCTGTTTATATTCCACCAGACTTTTCACCAAATGTCGGCTCTTTGTAAACTAGTCCATCCACTCATTGTTTTAGCACGAGCAGAGATTATAGCCGTACAAATCTGGTCTGGTCTCTATTGTCTCTAGATCAGGTGTCTCCAAACTTTTTCACCCAAAGAGCTACTTTCCGGGACAGAGAGCTACTCCTTTTGGCTAACCCTGGGAAAAAACGTTGTGATATATTGGTGTGAACAAGCCTGATATTGGATTTATCACTGCATATTTGTTATTAATGACAAAGTACGTTGCATTTACAATGATTAATAATGATAAAGTGCATTTACAATGATTAATAATGATAATGAATAATACTATCTGAAAGTGTATTGTTGAATTTGTCCATTTCTAAAATCCTTTGGCGAGCTATACTGCTGGCTCCCGAGCTGGAGCCAGCAGTTGGAGACCCCTGCTCTAGATTATGAACCATACGTAAACATGACAAGATACAAGAATTTATTTGCCATTTGCAGTAAAACCCCATTGGAAAAACAGTGCAAGACCACACCAGAGCTCTTGCCATGCTGTCATCGTTACGGCCATAATGTAGGTTTATGATCTGATTATTAACCATATAAAGCTCTTTGGCTCATTTTACCGTTTCTGTAAATATGCTCCGATTTTACCGATGTCATGGCTTAGTGAAAACTTAGCTCTGGTGCGGAGTTTGAAGCAAATTATATAAAGTAAGGTTGGATTAATTGGTGATGGTTTTGCCCTATTGTTTTATCATTTCTGAAGCAGATAATCTAGTCTGAGTGGAAGGACTCTGTCATTTAGGTTGTCAGTTTCTTGACTGAGCTCCTCACCCTATCTCTAAGGGAGCGCCCAGCCACTCTGCGGAGGAAGCTCAATTCGACCGCTTGTTACGATCTCGTTCTTTCGGTCATTACCCATGCTCTTGGGATGTGGAATTGTGTATGGACTGTGCTATACAAATAAACTTGCTGCTATCATTTTGGATCAATTCATTTGAGGCCTTTGTGTGTAATATTTCAAACCTAAACGACATCTACAACTTGGATATGGCCGCGGAAAACAGGTCAGACGTACAAATCATTTGGTCTTCAATTCAGTTCAATTAAATGTATTCTTGTATAGCCATAAATCACACCAGTTATCTTGGAGGACTTTGAGAAAATTGTCAATTCGCCAACATAGATCAAAGAATCAAACAGTTCAAACCCGGGAAATGCAATGATGGAATACACTTAGAGCCATTGGTCCATAAGGGGTAGACACCAATGTCCAAAAATTAATAATAAATCCCTTTAAAATCCTAGAATATCAGTCCTGGGACCCTTCTGCATCGACAAGTAACAAAAATAAATAAATACATATATCGTATTTTTCACACTATTAGGCGCACACAAAAGCCTTTAATTTCAACCATGGGCCTTATTATCTGGTGCACCTAATAATACAAAAATACAGTATATATAACTGTACCTGTCTGCTTCTGATGAACGTTCTTGTTGTGTTCGCAGCATTACTTCCAAATAGTTTTTGGACACGAAGGACAGAAGCCACTGGAGCTGCGCACAGAGGAGGAGAACGAGTGCGACGAGTGGGTGGAGGTGATCCAGCAGGCCAGGTACTGACTTACTTCATATTTACACTCTATGGTACTGACTTACTTCATATTTACACTCTATGGTACTGACTTACTTCATATTTACACTCTATGGTACTGACTTACTTCATATTTACACTCTATGGTACTGACTTACTTCATATTTACACTCTATGGTACTGACTTACTTCATATTTACACTCTATGGTACTGACACTGGGATTCAGGGCTGGGATTAACCAATATTTTGATGGCCCATTAATCTGCTGTTATAAATAATTAGTTTTTTAGCCCAGTGATCCCCGTCTTTTTCCTGCCACGAACCGGTTTTGGACTGATATTTTGGAAAGCAAACACCTCATGTCCCGTGACAATTATGCACGGAGAGAATTCTGTTATTTTTCGAAATAAAGCATAGTTCAGACAAAAAAAAACATGAATAATCCATTATTATTTATTCTTTCCTTACGGGTCTATTCCAGAATGGCTCATGGCCCGGAACTGGTTTAGACCCTGAAGCTCAGTGAAAATGGTATTTTTTTATACATTCGATCAAAGCAAAACTCCAACGATGCCCCTGGAGAACACAGTGAGATAGAGATGAATTAGAATATGTATTTTTTCAGTATTTAAAAAAACAAAACAGAACAATATATCAAGCATACACCAAATAGATACACACAAGGACACACACAGAGAGACTGGCTCTGGTCCTCAGAGGGCTGTCAGAGAGAGGGTCCACAGACAGAGAGAGACCCCCCATATAAATCAGCCGTGATGTCACACACGTCACACTTAATTAGTCAGACAGGGTTTTAAGCCAGGAGACCAGGGTAGATCCTCCATGGAGAGAGACTAAGCCAGGAGACCAGGGTGGATCCTCCATGGAGGGAGACCATTGAGCAAGACGGGTGGGTTCGATTTCACCTCCAGGACCTTTCTGTGTGGAGTTTGTACGTTCAAGCGCTTTGGGTGATCTTGCTCTGTAAAAATGCCCTATATACACAAAGATTAGTTACTTACTTACTTCCGCCTGTGTCTGCCTAGGTTTCCTCCAGATGCTCCGCTTTCCCCTACCACTAAAAACATGCACAATAGTTCAGGGTGAATGAATGAGTGTGTGTTTGTGAGTGCGAGAGTGGGATTAGTCCAAGGCCAGCTCCTGATTGGTGTGTTCAAGATAATTCATCCCAACAACGATGCAATCTTCTCAGTCCTCACCTTTGCACTCTCTACAGAAATGTTCCACTAACATGCATGGATTTACATTTTCATTCATAATCTGAGGGAGCGGAAAGGAGGGACAGGGCTGAGTGCTGCTAGTGGAAAGGAAAGGCTTCTCTATATAAGTCTGTAAATGTGGTCTTTGCAGTTACTCCGACATCATCATCGAGCGCGAGGTGCTGATGCAGAAATACATCCACCTGGTTCAGATCGTGGAGACGGAGAAGGTGGCGGCCAATCAGCTGCGGACTCAGCTGGAGGACCAGGACACGGAGATCGAGAGGCTTAAATCTGAGGTAAAAAAACGTAATCCCTGCTGTAGTTTCACCGCCCCTTTAACAGTCCGTGAAAGCACACACACACACACACACACAGACAGACACACACATGCACGCATACACACACACACGGGAGCGTTACATAACCCAGGGCCCAGCTGCAGCTCCAGGCCAAAGGGATCATGATGTCTGAGGTAAAAGAGAAACCACATCGAGAAAACACAACTCTTTGGATTAGATTAAGACAATGTTACGGTTATATAAACTTACCTGATTTGTCTAACTGTCAAGAAATGACGACAGAGGCAGCCTTAAGCCTAGCGTACATTGACAGAGTAACTGGAGACAACTAGTTGCGAGGCGGCTTTTGGCAACTGAGAGTAGATGATGGAGATGATCAGTTTCCGAAATCGGTCGATGTGAGTGCTCTTACAACTGGAGATAAACAGTCGATCTCCGGATTCAGTCAGTTGCCTCTGTTCTACTTTTCGGCAACTAGTTGTACTCAGATCCGGAGATATCACCCGATGTGCGCTCTCCAACAACATGTGTGTATTGCGTGTATTGCGCCCTCTACAGTTTATGTCAGAAAACACACTGTAGTTGAGGCCAGTTGCTGTCGATGTACACGCTGTTATTCCCGAGACTGGCCTGATACGAGGAGTTGCCCGTTTTCGCCAGATTGTCGATGTGTGCGGGGCAGCAACTCATAGGCGACGGATATAATCAGTTGCCAGTCCGATGTACGCTAGGCATTAGGCCCCTGTGACCTGGTTTATTTTTGTGTGCTTTCAGATTGAACAAAAAGAGACAAAGATTTTGATATGATTTGTATCAAAGCATGCTGTAGATATATAGATGCTGTAGTAACAATGTGGGTCAGAACCAATACATTCAGTTCAGTTAATGATGTTTAGCAGTGATACAGATATAACAGGAGCAACAAGACAAACCCAAACACACACCAAAGCCCATCTTCCAAACCAGCGACAGAGAGTTCAGCGGTTGGAACAAAAACATTTTAAGTGGTGGGTTTTACAGTGCGGTGAAACATAACGTCTTCCTGATGGACGCAAAGTGAGCTCAATATTGAAAACCTGATCAGAGAACGACGTTATGGTGCGAGCCTTTCTCACAAATGACTTTTTAACTAATGTGCACTATTGATCAAGACTATTTTGGTCTTTGTGCGGAAGTTTAGGGACCCAGAAGATGTAGGAGAAGCTCTAAAGGGTCTCAATGAAGGCCTGATAAAACCGGGACAAAATAGTGTGGCTGACTTGAGAGTTTTACATATGCCTGAGGTAAAGTCTTTGCTGCATTTCACAATAGAAGCAGTGAAAATGGTAAATTCCAAGTGATCACCCAACAAAAAGTCAGAAATGTCTCAAATTTACCAAGATTGATCTGAATTTAAGAACATTTTGACTGCCTTAAAACAAAATTGGCTACTGTGTGACACGGTGGTTGAGGGGATAGCACTCTCATTTCTCAGCAAGAAGGTAGTGGGTTTGAATCCCGGTTGGAACAGGGTCTTTCTGAGTTGAGTTTGCATGTTCTCCCCGTGTCTGCGTAGGTTTCCTCCCGGTCCTCCCGTTTCTCCTACCACTGAAAACATGTACAATAGTTCAGGGTGAATGAGTGTGTGGTTGAGAGTGCGACTTTGGAACTACGGATGGAATTAGCCCAGAGTGATGTGTTCATTAACATGTTCTGTACCAACCAAATAAACAATAAACAATGGGAGAAGCAAATGATCTTGTTTTAAAAAGATACAAGAAAAGTCTCTTGTGGAAAAATAAAATAAGGCAACAGATCTTGAAATGAGACTAAATGTTTTTTGTCCTGTTAGTCAGAATGTTAAAGATGAAAAAAACTCTTGCTTCAAGCAAATACTACCTCATATTTTATCACTATTTGCAGTGTAGTGCCAAGATATTAATAATAGGAGATTCTTTCTACCCTCACATTCTGGATAACACACCGGTTTTATTCTGCACAAAACCAATCAGTGTCCTCCATTGTGTACGCTGAGCTTAAAAGGCAGTTAACAGGGCTCTTTTCCTTGCTACTCTAAATGCTGTTTCCGGTTACAGAAGCCATATGCCGATGGGTATGCATGACTGTGTGTTCAGTGTGAAGCGCTGTGTGGGAGTAAGCGGTGCCCGTGTGTGGGAGAGGCCCACTGCTTTCCAGAAACATCACACTCTCTCCTCCTCTGGCTCTGCTCTCCCTGTGCCTGCAGCTTTGGAAATATCTACAAATGCTGTAACAGTCTCACAGATCGCCGTTACTGTACAATAATGACGATTCCCGCACTGGCTGTCAGTGCGTACAGTTCAGTTTCGCAGAGTCAGAGAAAGGTTTTGTTTTTAGGCAACAACAGTCTCTGCATTTGTCATTTTCTGAATATTGTCTCAGTGTGCATTAGAAAGATAGATAGATAGATAGATAGATGGATAGACAGATGGATGGATGGATGGATAGATAGATGGATAGATACTTTATTGATCCCCGTAGGATAAATTGAGATGTCCAGTATAGCAGCAAAAGTAAAACATAAAATTGATCATTCTAAAAAGCTAACAATAGTAATAATCAGCAACAGCCCATCAGGTCACAGCAGCAGAGGTGGAGTAGCCTCTGGGTGGAGCAGGACAGGTCACAGCAGCAGAGGTGGAGTAGCCTCTGGGTGGAGCAGGACGGGTCACAGCAGCAGAGGTGGAGTAGCCTCTGGGTGGAGCAGGACGGGTCACAGCAGCAGAGGTGGAGTAGCCTCTGGGTGGAGCAGGACGGGTCACAGCAGCAGAGGTGGAGTAGCCTCTGGGTGGAGCAGGACGGGTCACAGTAGCAGAGGTGGAGTAGCCTCTGGGTGGAGCAGGACGGGTCACAGCAGCAGAGGTGGAGTAGCCTCTGGGTGGAGCAGGACGGGTCACAGCAGCAGAGGTGGAGTAGCCTCTGGGTGGAGCAGGACGGGTCACAGCAGCAGAGGTGGAGTAGCCTCTGGGTGGAGCAGGACGGGTCACAGCAGCAGAGGTGGAGTAGCCTCTGGGTGGAGCAGGACGGGTCACAAGGTGGAGTAGCTGCTTGGTTCGGACCATTTTATCTGCTCTAATCCAAAGTAGCTTGACTGACAATAAAAGATGTTTAGTCTTCCATGAATCTTACTTCTACCTGACCTTTTGCTAAATTAACTGTTTTAAGCCAATTCATAAACAAGGCAACTAAAGTGCTGAACAAAACAAGAAAAGCACAGAACCCATCAAATCTGACCAAACTGGAGATGAACTGCAAAGAAGAATGGTCCAAAATACCTTCCACCAGAATCCAGACTCTAATTGGACGTTGGACTTGCACTAGAGCAGCCACTCCCAAAGTCAGTAACACTCTTAAAAATAGGCTCTTCTGGTTATTTTATCTGGGGGAAATAGCCTCTGCTACAAACGTGTAAATGACGCACCCCATTTTGCAATACAAAAATGATTACAATTAGATTATTCAAGTCAAATAATGAACACAAATATTTTTATTTTACAAACAAAATATTATTAATTTTACAAACAAAATATTATTAATTTCCATCCATCCATCTTGTTCCCCTTAGTCCATTTCTGGGTTTGGGGGGTGTCAGTCAGTCAGAGCTGCACCCAGTACACAGAGCACCAGCCCCTCACTGATCCTCCTGCAGGTGGTGAGTCCACAGGAGCTGAGATCTTTCAGTGGGGGCTTCAGGCAAAGTGGGGTTAAGTGTCTTGCCCAAGGACACAACGACCGCAGTCATCAGTGGGAGTCGTGAAGTAGTCTTATGGTGGGCTCGAACCCACAACTTTCAGGCTCAAAGGCCAATGCTCTACCAACTGAGCCCCTGAAATATTATTATTAATTTAACAAAACAATTTAAAAAAAATAATAATTATTGTATGTTATTAGTAATTAAACATACTATAAGTATGTATAACTGACCTCTCGCGGCCCCTGGACCCCACTTTGGGAGACACTGCACTAGAATATACAGCATATTATACCTGCTCCTTATTGGGCTAAAGTCAGGGTTTTTTGTACTTAAGTCTTGCTTCTTCATCAGGCTAAAGTTGGAGATTTAGACTTATTTCCTGATTTTGCCAAAGATAGAGATTTCATAATGCTTATTTTATGCTAGAGTTAGAGCAATTTTATTTTGTATAGAGTTATTATTCATTTATCTTATGTGCTCCTCATTCCTACTGTTCTGTAACTTGGGATTTAAAACTGAAATTTCCCCACTGTGGGACGGATAAAGGGTCTCTGATTATGAAAGGGGTGCCCAAACTTTTGTACCACTGTAGTTTTCAATACTTCATAATAAGAGCAATACACATCTATCACTATCAATATATATTTAAAGCTATTTTGTTTCTTTTTTTTCCGCAAAACACCACAGAAAGGACTCCTGTGTTTGCTGCAGCCGCCGTCCCCGGATGGAGTTATCTGTTTGTCGGAGAAAAGCTGCATCTTTTCTCATTTGCGTTTTAAAAAGTGCTTTGTTTGCGTCGGTTATTTCGCATCAGGGAAAATAACTGGTCTGTAAGCGGTTTATTTTCCTACAGCAGGTTTCTCCTCCAGATCCCGGCTGTGATCGTGGTGTTTGCTTTGAGAGCGTTTCGAGTGGGCATCTGTTCGTCTGGGAAAAGAGAGCAACTGTTGTGTGGATGTTCCGTCTCTCTCTTTTCAAAACCGTTCTTTCTCTTCTTTTGCGTTGTTGGCCGCTCGGCGTTTGTGAATAATGAATAGAGAGAAGAGAGAAGGAATGATTGCAAACACTTAGAGAGGTTTGCTTAAGACGAATCAATTACAACAACAAGTTTTGGTTGTGCCCTTTGTGATAAACGGCCCCCATGGATGCAGCTCGTTCAAGTAAAAGGGAAAATGATTGAGCTATGAAGCCAATTAGCCTCTAAGCTACAGGGTCGAACCACTTTAATGCTGCTAGTGTGGAAGAGTTATTATTAATTATTATTATTATTACTCTTTATTAAAGGGACAGTGTACAGAGGCATTACGCTCATAGAGACAGTGCCCGGTGCTAAATGTCTATTGTGTGTAGAGCACTTGTATAGATAGATAAATAGATAGATAGATAGATAGATACTAGATACTGTAGCTAGCTAGATAGATAGATAGATAAACAGATAGATAGATACTGTAGATATATAGATAGATAAATATTATATTGATCCCCGTAGGAGATATAGTAGTAGTTATAGTATAGTTATAGTATATTAGTCATTTTAAGAATTATAGGTAGGATTTTTATTCAGATTCAAAACTTAGCATAATCTCGATGCAGAATACACACACACACACACACACACACACATACACACACATACACACACACTGAGTCCGGCCTCACAGTTCACACAGCAGCAGGTTACACAATATAAGTCGAAAACAACAATGAACAACACAATTCCCAAAAAACTTTTATTGATATTCATTCATTCATTCATTCATTTTCAACCCCTTTATTAGTCCATTTCTGGGTCGGGGGGGTGATCTTCAGAGCTGCCACCCAATGCTCATAGCACCAGTCCCTCACTGATCCTCTGCAGGTGGAGGATGGCTCCTCTGTCATTGACAAGATGGCCTTGGTCTTTCAGCAGGGGCTTCAGGCAATGTGGGGTTAAGTGTCTTGCCCAAGGACACAAAGACAGCAGACATTCGTGGGAGCAGTTGGAGTAGGTCCCATGGTGGGCTCGAACCCACGACCTTCAGGCTCAAAGGTCAATGCCCTACCAACTGAGCTACTGTCGCCCGTTTTATTGTTATTTTATGCCTTATTTTGTTTTTTTTACTTTTTAACTTGTTTGCAGCGAGAGCCAAAGCAATCATGGCAATATACATATGAAAGTGAAAGTGTGAGAGTAATAACCTAGCAATAAGCCTGAAGGTCGTGAGTTCGAGCCCACCACGAGACCCTCTTTATTAGTCCAGAAATTGGCTAATAAAGGGATAGAACATGAATGAATGAATGAATGAATGTTGTGTATGTTTTTCTTCACTTTCTCTCTCTGTGATTCTGCTGCAGATTGTGGCGTTGAACAAAACCAAGGAGCGGATGCGTCCGTACCACGCCCCGCAGACGAACGAAGACCCCGACATCAAAAAGATCAAAAAGGTAAAGTTTCCCGTCCGCTTTTGTGTGTCTGTTGTGTCTTTTTTTTGGACGTGTGTGTGTGTGTGTGTGTCCTCGTTTCTATCTGTGCGAGTGTGTTGAGCTGTTGTTTGAGCTGTTGTGTCCTTGTTAATCGGTGTGTGTCTGTTGTGACCAGTGTGTGTGTGTCTGGTTTGACCTGTGTGTGTGTGTGTGTGTGTCTGGTTTGATCTGTGTGTGTCTGGTGTGACCTGTGTGTGTGTCTGTTGTGACCTGTGTGTTTCTATTGTCACCTGTATGTGTCTGTTGTGACCTGTGTGTGTGTCTATTGTCACCTGGATGTGCATGTGTGTGACCTGTGTGTGTGTCGGTTGTGACTTGTGTGTGTCTGTGTGGGTTTGTCGTGACATGTGTCTGTTGTGACGTGTGTGTGTCTGTGTGTGTGTGTGACCTATGTGTGTGTCTGCTGTGACTTGTGTGTGTGTCTGTTGTAACCAGTGTGTGTGTGTCAGTTGTGACCTGTGTGTGTGTGTCTGTGTGAGTCTGCTTTGACCCCTGTATGTGTCTGTGTCTGTTTTGACCCTTGTGTGTGTCTATTGTGACCTATGTGTGTGTGTTGTGTGTCCAGGTGCAGAGCTTCATGCGTGGCTGGCTCTGTCGGAGGAAGTGGAAGATCATCGTTCAGGATTACATCTGTTCTCCTCACGCCGAGAGCATGAGGAAACGCAACCAGATCGTCTTCAACATGGTGGAGGCCGAGACCGAGTGAGTGCGGGGACAACACCACAACTCCCACAGCAGTCAATTTGACGGCTTTTAGTCTCGTCTCACTCTCAGCTCTTGTGCATTATTGGTCTCCATAACTTTTAGTGGTTAGAGGTCCTGGGTTCGATTCCACCTCCAGGCCTTTCTTTGTGGAGTTTGCATGTTCTCCCCATGTCTGCGTAGGTTTCCTCCAAGTGCTCCGGTTTCCCCTGCCACTAAAACATGCACAATAGGTCTGAATGTATTGAGTGCATGGATGGTGTTTGGTCAGAGGCTTTGATGGACCAGTGTGTTCGGCGTCTCGCTTCCGTCTTCACCGTGTGGAGAGAACGAAACAATATCTGAACTCTGAACATTATAAAGCGCTATAAAGCATACAACGTTGCTTTTTGTGTGGACAGGTACGTGCACCAGCTGTACATCCTGGTGAACTGCTTCCTGCGGCCTCTGAGAATGGCGGCCAGTTCCAAGAAGCCTCCCATCAACCACGACAACGTCAGCAGCATCTTCCTCAACAGGTGTCTCTCTCTCTCTCTCCTGCTGTTCCTGATGTAACAATAGGCAGACAATTTTTTAGGCTATGAAAACTTGGTAAATCTTACTTTAAGGCAATCCAAATACAGGCTAAAAGAAGTCACAGAATTTCATGAGATAGAACTGACAATGTAAAATCTTCCATGGTGCTAGTTAGCTTCTGTATATGGAGGAATATATACTTTTTGTCACCAGTGTGTGGAGGGAATGAATGGTAACTTTTTTACTATAGTTACCACAAGATTTACCTTTTTAATTTTAAATATAGATGTTCAGAAACTTTAGAAATCGGCAAGTTACTAACATCAGCAATAACAGATGTTTGTTGAGAAACTAAACTTTTTTGGAGAATTATTTTTGTAAATTCAGAAGAGTGGACTTCCAAGTGGACGGGAGTTGGTTGCTCCCTTTGATGGAGAGTTTTTTGTTTAACCTCAATCTTTCCAAGGGGTCCCCAACCTTTTTAGATTGGAGAGCTACTTTTATAGAACAGAAATGGCTCTTTTATAGAACAGAAAGAGAGCTTTGGGTGACCTTGGTCTGTGAAAATACGCTCTATATATAAAAATGAGTTACTTACTTAGTTACTTATCTGAAAAGGGGTGGTGAGCTATTGGTAGCCACCCCTGAGCCACAGGTTGGAGACCCTTGTTTTAGCTTGTTCCATTGGTAAAACCGTAAAAAATTCCTTGAATCGCAACTACCATATTATCAATTATTGTTTTTCATTTTTCACCTTTTACTACTTGTAAGAGTAATCTTTACCATCTTTTGTATGGTTCTACTGTGCAAAGTGGCTCTACCCAGAACCATTGTACCCAGGACCAGTATGACTTCTCCTCATGACATGTGTGTGTGTGTTTTGTGTGTTTGTCTGCGTTTTCTACCCAGTGAGACCATCATGTTCCTGCACGAAATCTTTCACCAAGGACTCAAGGCTCGGATCGCCAACTGGCCGACGCTGGTGCTGGGTAAACTGAGCTTTAAACACTGCTTTTGTAGAGGCTGTAGATCACGTCACCTCTCTTCCGTCCGTGAGTCATTTGCCTATCTCCGTCTGCAACGCACTCGCTATTGTCGGTGGGATAATGAGAGGCCCCAAACAAAACCCTGATCACACCGGCGTCACCTAGGAGACCACGGCTTAAAGACTGGAAATGACTTTGGGAAGATTTGAATGATTGGACGTTAAATGATCTCTGGCATGACACTTGTGTATGTGCTGCCGTCTTCTGCTGAGACATAAATATAAGATCAATATAAAAGTCTGACAAATCTGCATCCTTCTCCTGCTCCAATTTCATTCGATTGATAAAGTAAGTATGTAAATGTGTACGCGGTAGAGCTGCATGTAAACACGTAAACCGGATCCTTATGAGACAACGGGCAGAGGTGCATTTAAGAGCGCAGGGAAAATCCAAGCTTATACTAGAAAGGTATGTATCTGGACTCTGGAATCTTAAAGGAGCAGTATGTAAAAGTCTGGCCAAAAGTGGTGCTGCAACCTCTCCCACTCTCCCTGACTCAGGTTGCCAGATATGCAGACGAATCCAGCTGGGACCATAATAGCTGGAAAGACAAGTGTTTTGTCAACAATAAAACTATAACCAACACTTTTTTTCACAAAGGCCCCGATCAAAATCCTGGTTTTATTCCTTGTTTTATTGTTAGAGACCTTTTTAGTTCTGCAGCCACATGTTACTTCACCTAGTTCTTTTTCCATAACACTCTTCAGTATCTGGTACCGTATTCTAGCAAGCTAACCACAACAAACCAGTATCCGTGTACTATTCCTTAGTTACTTTTAGCTAATTACCAGCAGTTAGAACACTTCAGTACCAGTACCAGCTCAGTCTGAAGACAGGGCCATGCTCCCAATCGGGGTGGAGTAGAGTAGAGTAGAGTAGAGTAGAGTAGGGCTGGTGGAAATAGGGCTTTTATGTGAGCGGGTAAAAAATAAGATAAATAGAAAAGATCAAAAAAATAATAATAATTGAAATATCACCGGGAACTGATTGTTTTTCTTTCACTCCGTTCTTACAGCGGTAACATGTCTGCCGTGATATATGCTTCAGCTGTGCGTGTGCTATTTTGACCAACGTCGCTTTCACATCATCACAATGCAATTACAAACAAAGCTAACAAGTGCAATTAGGTGCAACAATCAGGCCCTGATGACAGAAAACAACGCAAGGTAATCCTAAGCTGTTGAGAATATAATGACAATGACAATTACAAACTTTAGACAAATAGCAGCAGGATAACGAGTGCAGACTATATATTAAACTGTGCATAAATAATTACCACGAAGTTATGTGGATATGTGCGTCTGTTTGCCAAAGGGCTTTTTGAAAATGTCAAAATAATAACCATTATCGTCACAGTAGAAGAAGTTGCAGTAGCTGTAGCAGTAGTAGTAGTAGTAGAAGAGCATAGTAGTAATAGCTGCCTCAGTAGTAGTAATTCTAGTAGCATCAGTAGTAGAAGCAGTATAGCAGGTGGAGTAATGCAGTAGCAGCCTCAGTAGCAGTAGTAGTTGTAGTATCAGTAGCAGCACCTGAAGTAGTAGCAGTAGTAAATAGCAGCAGCAGCAGTAGTAGCAGTATCAGTAGTAGCAGCTGAAGTAGTTGGACTAGTAAATAGCAGCAGCAGTAGCAGTTGTAGTATCAGTAGTAGCAGCTGAAGTAGTAGGAGTAGTAGTAGTAGCAGCAGCAGCAGCAGTAGTAGTAGTGGTAGGTGTAGTAGTAGTATTAGTAAGTATCAGTAGTAGTAGTAATAGCAGTAAAAAAAGAAAAAAAAAGGGGCGGCACGGCTTCTCAGAAAGAAGATCCTGGGGTTGAATCCCGGTCGGAACGGGGTTTTTCTGAGTGGAGTTTGCATGTTCTCCCTGTGCTTGCGTAGGTTTCCTCCGGGTACTCCGGTTTCCCCTACCACTAAAACGTGCTCACTAGGTAAAATCCTCCAGCTCCGGTAGTCCTGACCAAGCCGAGCATCAACATCTGGAGATTGGTTCCCGGGCGCTGTTACTATGGCGACCACTGCTCCTGACGTAAGCCTTTGCGGCATCAGGATGAGTCAAATGCAGAGGATTGAATTGCCCTACAGGGATCAATAAAGTGCACCTTTAGTATCAGTAGCAACAGCCATACTAGTAGTAGTAGTAGTTGTAGCAGGTTTAGTAGTAGTAGTATAAGTACTAGTTGTAGCAGCTGTAGTAGTAATAATAATAGTAGCAGTAGTAGTATCAGTAGCAGCAACTATTGTCACCAATGCATGAATCCTTCTAAAGTACTTTTATCTCCCAGTCACCAAAGCCCATTCTGATCTACCAGTTGTTCCCATACCTCCACATCCATTAGTGTCTCTGTTCAAGGCCTCACCCATGTTTGTGTTGCAGCCGACCTGTTCGACATCCTGCTGCCCATGCTCAACATCTACCAGGAGTTTGTGCGGAACCACCAGTACAGCCTGCAGGTCCTGGCCAACTGCAAACAGAACCGGGATTTTGACAAGCTCCTCAAACAGTATGAGTCCAACGCCGCGTGCGAGGGACGGATGCTGGAGACCTTCCTCACCTACCCCATGTTCCAGGTCAGTCCACTCACTTTACTGTCGTCATTGTATGGTTAGATCAGGCAAGTCCGAACTAAGGCTGAGAAGGTTTTTATAATAACATAAAATGAGATTCATATCCAGGTAAAAAACAGATCTGTTTTTTAATGCACAGTGATTATTTATGATTTGAATGCCTGGTGTAACTGTCCCTATCCTGTTCTGTTCAGCACTTTGAGTTGCGCTGTACAAATAAACCTTGCCTTGCCTGAAAGAAGCTAGTAAATAAGCTGATGGTCCACGTGCCACGCTTCCTGATTTTTACAAAAAACTTCTAAGCCTTAAACACAAGGAGGCATAGAGAACTTTTGGACATCTGATAAGTCCAAACTAAGGCCCACGAGCCAATTGCGGCCCTCTGTGTCTTCCTATGTGGCCCTCTGCCTTGCGAAACTTAAGTAGTCTTTGAGGTTGTAAAAACAAGCCAACTTCAGCTTAGCCAGTAATACAAGCACTTATAATTGCAGTAAGTACGGTAGGATGCGTGTAGTAGTAGCAACTCACTCAAGTAGTACTATCAGTAGTAGCATCAGCATTTGTAGCAGCAGTTAGCGTAGTAGTAGTTGTAGTATCAGTAGCAACAGCATATGAGTCGTGCAAGTAGCATGTTTTGTGGCCTTGTTAACCTAAATTAGTCTTTGCGTGTCATCCAGCCAACTACATTTTTTTGATTGTGTCCCGAACTCTGCAGTTTTTTTCTGATGAAATGGTCATTTGTCATTCAGCCAACTGCAGCTCTGTTATAGCTCATTTTAAATCTCTGGACTTCCTTGATTTAGACTAAAATATGTAGGAAGTTTGGTCCATCCTCCAAATCTAAAATATACTTAGACTTTGTGGCTATAATCTACTGATCTAATTCTAGGTTAGTCATGGCTTCAAGCTGGGGCGCTATGTTTTGTTTTTGTTACATAAATGAAACAAAAGGGGAACAAAAAATATCTTGTTCCCAAAGGACAATTATCTTGTGACCTGGAGATATTTTTTTGTCCCAACTGAAAGAGTCTGATGAAAGGAAAAGGCAAAGACACCAGAACACAACTTCTTCCTCTTATTAGAAAGCATTTTATATTCTCTCTCATAGCCCCGCGACGCTATTGGACGCTTTGGGCTGAGAGGTGGAGAGAGACCACGGATAGAGAGAGACCAGAGAGAGAGAGAGAGAGAGAGAGAGAGAGAGGGAGAGAGAGAGAGGGGAGAGAGAGAGAGAGACAGAGAGAGAGAGACAGAGAGAGAGAGACAGAGAGAGAGAGAGAGAGAGAGTTAGAGAGAGAGAGAGAGAGAGAGACCAGAGATAGACCAGAGATAGATACAGACCAGAAAGATAGAGAGACCAGAGATAGAGATCAGAAAGAGACAGAGACCAGAGATAGATACAGACCAGAGACAGAGATCAGAGATAGAGACCAGAGATAGAGACCAGAGATAGAGACCAGAGATAGAGACCAGAGATAGAGACCAGAGATAGAGACCAGAGATAGAGACCAGAAAGAGAGAGAGATCAGAGATAGATACAGAGACCAGAGATAGAAACCAGAAAGAGAGAGAGACCAGAGATAGATACAGACCAGAAAGAGAGAGAGAGAGACCAGCGATAGAGACCAGAAAGAGAGAGAGACCAGAGATAGATACATACCAGAAAGACAGAGAGACCAGAGAAAGAGACCAGAAAGAGAGAGACCGGAGATAGATACATACCAGAGATGGAGACCAGAAAGAGAGCGAGACCAAAGATAGAGACAAGAAAGAGAGAGAGACCAGAGATAGATACAGACCAGAAAGACAGAGAGACCAGAGATGGAGACCAGAAAGAGAGCGAGACCAAAGACAGAGACAAGAAAGAGAGAGAGACCAGAGATAGATACAGACCAGAAAGACAGAGAGACCAGAGATGGAGACCAGAAAGAGAGCGAGACCAAAGATAGAGACAAGAAAGAGAGAGAGACCAGAGATAGATACAGACCAGAAAGACAGAGAGACCAGAGATGGAGACCAGAAAGAGAGCGAGACCAAAGATAGAGACAAGAAAGAGAGAGAGACCAGAGATAGATACAGACCAGAAAGACAGAGAGACCAGAGATGGAGACCAGAACGAGAGAGAGCGAGAGAGTGAGGACCTGGACCTCTCTTCTTTGCTCTCTGTCTGAAAAAGCTCAAAGAAGGCTGTGACAGAGGAAATGCTCGTGAAAACCAGTGATAGAACCAACATGTTTGAGAGCGAGGAACTGGTTTTATGGATTTAATAATACATTTTGTTGTTGTTGGAAAGTTAGGTACCCCAGCTTTAATGTGGTTGTGACAAAAAATCATAACAAGACCAGAGATATTAAAAATACAAATGTTTAGAGCCCAATATGTTTCCTGTTTGTAGAATAAAGTGACCACGCTGTACACTGGAGATTCAAACTGCTGCTCCACAGAGACAAAAGTAACAAATGTGTGTGTGTATTTATATTTTAGCATTTTATTATGACTTTGTATGTGTATATATATATTTTTTTGTTACCTTTTTGTAACTTGTTTTCACTATACCCCAAAGCAAATTCCTAGTTTGAGTTTTCCAGTCTGCCAGCTTAAAAAAAGATACATACTGTATATATACAACAATAGAATTTACAATTTTCTGTGTGATTCATGAACGTGTCATAAAATGCGGCTTGTTGTGTGTGTGTTTTTGTTGTGTGTGCTTCTCCCAGATTCCCCGCTACATCATCACTCTGCATGAACTCCTGGCTCACACGCCTCACGAACACGTAGAGCGGAAAAGTCTGGAGTTCGCCAAATCCAAACTGGAAGAACTGTCCAGGTATTTTTTGTGACCGTTTAACCGCTTTTGAGTCGCGCATCACTCCAGAAGGTTTGAGAAGAAAACCGAAAAAAGAAGATATTTTTTAAACATTTCCGCCCATAATGGAGACTGGGGGCCCACACAGGGACAAAGCAGAAAAATATAAAATTGAATCAAAAGTCCATTTATTTCTGGATGGATAGTTTTTATATGTTGGTGTTGTTGAGCAAAGCTTCGTGTCCCGGCTTTAACGCGACTGTGACACAAATACAGAAAAAACGCATTTGTAATAAGGATATACAGTGATTTCCGGACTATAAACCGCTATTTATTTATTTATTTATTCAGACGGCGATAGAACAGTTAAAGTAATAGCAACTTAATAAAAGAAAAAGGAAGAAATTAAGTACATAAAACACGCAACCAATATTGGGGGAAGTGGGGGAAGTAAACACTTATACATATAATCCCACCCCTTATTTCTGTACTTCAATTTCGTAAGTGAAGTACATTTACAGTGCCTTGCGAAAGTATTCAGCCCCCTTGCTGAAGACTGCTGTTCACAAACGCTCTCCATCCAACCTCACTGAGCTCTAGCTGTTTTGCAAGGAAGAATGGGCAAGAATTCCAGTCTCCAGATTTGCAAAACTGATAGAGACATACCCCAAGCGACTTGCAGCTGTAATTACAGCAAAAGGTGGCGCTACAAAGTATTAGCGCAAGGGGGCCGAATAATATTGCATGCCCCACTTTTCAGTTTTTTATTTGATAAAAAAGTTTAAATTATCCAATACATATTGTTCCACTTTACGATTGTGTCCCACTTGTTGTTGATTCTTGACAAAAAAATAAATTTTCATATCTTTATGTTTGAAGCCTGAAATGTGGCGAAATGTTGAAAGGTTCAAGGGGGCCGAATACTTTCACAAGGCACTGTATATCGATGTGGCTAATATCTATTGTCAAAAGAGTCTGGTGAGCGACAGGTATGAAAGGGAACGGTTTGGATCAACTTTTTCAAATTGAATAAGGAAGGACCACCCTCACTCAGCTCTGAATTTGGAAAATATATCAAGTCCAAAATGTAGCTACACTGCAAAAAGTCATGAAAAATCTTTCAAAAATATCTCAAATTTGGCAAAAAGATATCCTAATTTGAGCACATTCTGACTGCTTTAAAATAAGATTTGCCAATGGGACAAAGCAAAATGATCTTGTTTCAAAAAGATACCAAACATTTCTTCCTTGGAATAAGAAAATATATCCCCTCGCTATAAAACCCCGGGGTGGGGGGGGGGCGGTCCTTCCTGTCCGTGGCCCCCAGACTTTGGAACGCCCTGCCTCTGTCCCTCCGTGTGGCCAACTCTGCCGATGCTTTAAAAAGGGACTAAAGACACTTCTTTTTAGGGCAGCTTTGAGTTAATTTCTTGCTGTTATGTTGTTATTTTCTACCTTTTCTTATTTCTATTGTATATACATATCTGCTTTAACCCTGTACAGCACTTAGTGATTTTTATCTATGAAAGGTGCACTATAAATAAAATGTACTTACTTACTTTACTATAAAGCCACAGTTCTTCAAATAAGACTAAATGGCTTTGTTCCATTGGCAAACAGTCAAAATGAAATCAAATTCAGATAAAAAAAACATGGGATTGAGATTAGTTTTATTTGCCTTTTGCAGTAAAACCACATTGGAATACATTTCTAAAAGTCCCCAGTGTGCACCAGACAAGTACACACATAAAGGTTAAAAGTACAGAAATAAAACTATAATGAATTCATGATGATTCAAGCATTTATTACCTCATAATTCATCATGTTTTTTGCAGTGTATGAAACAAAAATACAGAGAATCTCCAGCTTCAATCTTACGTGTGGTGTAGCGCTTTCATTTCCACTTTGCACGTTTTGGAATTGATCCCAAAAAGCAGATCCCAGAGTTGGAATAATGGATCCCGTGACTCTTCCCGATGATGATTTTCTCCGTGCTTGTGTTTCAGAGTGATGCATGATGAAGTGAGCGACACAGAGAACATCCGGAAGAACCTGGCCATCGAGCGGATGATCGTGGAGGGATGCGACATTCTGCTGGACACGAGTCAGACCTTTGTGCGCCAGGGTCAGTCTCCAAACACTATTACTACACTATTTCACACCCAGGCTGAAATGTCTCCTGTAGAACCCAGACTTTCAAACATATGTAGAGAAAATTATAATCTATTAGCTCTTTTTGGAAAGAGCTAATATAGAATAGAATAGAACTATAGCTAATTCAGTACCTCAACTTGGCAACGTTGCATATTTGCTTGTTTGGATTCTTAATATTTAAATTAAGATTAAGAGTTTTTTTTAGTCCCACAGTGGAAATTTCAGCGTTGCATCACCGTTTACGGAACAGTAGGAATGAGGAGCACACAACGCAAGATAAAATGAACCACAATTCATGAAATACAATCTCTAGCTTTAGCATGAAAAAGAAGCTAGTATAAATCTCTAGCTTTAGAATAATGAAGAAGCAAGAATCAAGTATAACATCTCTGACTATTTCATAATAAAGAAGAAGTATAAGTAAACTTTCAACCACAACTGTATTTTCACACCATACTGCATTATATACTGTATATCCAATAGACGGCCTGCTCTTCAGTGCTACATTAGTTTTCAGGATTACACTGAGGGGGGTATTTTACAAGTGTGTGCAAAAGTTATTAGCCCCCCCTTTATATTGGAGCAAACCGATTTCTTCTGCACATGTCCTGGACTAAACCTGGGAAATTGCACACACTGTTTTAGCCCTGTTTCCACCAGCCCTTCTTGGCCCCTACTCTACTCTACTCTACTCTACTCTACTCTACTCTACTCTACTCTACTCTACTCTACTCTACTCTACTCTACTCTACTCTACTCTACTCTACTCTACCCTACTCTACCCTACTCCACTTTACTCTACCCTACCCTACCCTACTCTACTCTACTCTACTCTACTCTACTCTACTCTACCCTACTCTACTCTACTCTACCCTACTCCACTCTACTCTACCCTACCCTACCCTACCCTACCCTACTCTACTCTACTCTACTCTACTCTACTCTTCTCTACTCTACTCTACTCTACCCTACCCTACCCTACTCTACTCTACTCTACTCTACTCTACTCTACCCTACCCTACCCTACCCTACTCTACTCTACTCTACTCTACTCTACCCTACTCCACTCTACCCTACCCTACCCTACCCTACCCTACTCTACTCTACTCTACTCTACTCTACTCTACTCTACTCTACTCTACCCTACCCTACTCTACTCTACTCTACTCTACTCTACTCTGATTAGGAGCATTTCCACTGGCCATACTTGTCTGATACTAGATACTTTTTTGGTATCTGCTTGGCCCTGGTTCTGTCCGGGCTTTTATCCCACTGGGTTTATAGACTTTTTCCATGCAGATACAGGAGGGTCTGAGGACAGTGGTGATAATTCAAGACACTCAACATTCAACAACATTTATGGATATTTATCAACGTTTACGGACATTGGTCGTCCACCCCGTACGGACCAATGGCTTCTGTGTTTACTGTGTAGAGCTGAGTATAGGGCTGGTGGAAACAGGACTTTAGTTTTTGCACATATAGTTTCACACCTGGGTTGATAAATATTTCCCTGAGCCACACATTTTGGGTGAATCCGCAGTAGATCATGTCCTCCTTAGCCTCATGCATATAACTTAATCTCCTTAAATGTGTCACAATGTTATATTTTTCCTTGTTACACACATGTCAGCGGCTGTAAACAGACCGTGCACATGCCTCAGCTTAGTGTCGGCTTAATGGTCTCAAATATAATCCTGCCCAGGCTCGCTGATCCAGCTGCCCTCTGTGGAACGGGGGAAACTCAGCAAAGTTCGCCTGGGATCGCTGTCCCTCAAAAAGGAAGGAGAGAGACAGTGTTTTCTCTTCACCAAACACTTCCTCATCTGCACGCGCAGCTCCGGAGGCAAACTACACCTGCTCAAGGTGAGACGCCGCTCACTGTGTCTGTCCGGACTGCTTCCAGAACCCAAATACAATTGTGATTTCTCCCTGTTGGTCCTGAATCCGTTTACTTTCATTTTAAAGTGATAGTCTGTAACTCTAAATGAATTACAAATTTTAAGAATTGTATTAACTTGACCTCCTGGCCTTAAATGTTGATATAAAATAAGTCATTTGATTAATTCTAATATTACAGGTAAGTCCCGCCTTCCCTTCTCTTCTACTCTAGTTCAGAATCCACGATGCCGTCCATGTTAACCAATCAAGTGATGCCAATATATATCAGTGATGTGATGCCAATATAACCTATATCCATAATCATTTATATACTGAACCTATATCCATAATCATGTATATACTGAACCTATATCCATAATCATTTATATACTGAACCTATATCCATAATCATTTATATACTGAACCTATATCCATAATCATTTATATACTGAACCTATATCCATAATCATTTATATACTGAACCTATATCCATAATCATTTATATACTGAACCTATATCCATAATCATGTATATACTGAACCTATATCCATAATCATTTATATACTGAACCTATATCCATAATCATTTATATACTGAACCTATATCCATAATCATTTATATACTGAACCTATATCCATAATCAGATCCTCTGCAGATGTGTCCTATAATGTGCAATTCATGATAATAGCTTCTTCAGGGTTTGCCGCGATCGCTTTTTTTGTGCATTAAAACACTATTTTTTCCATGAAAACGTTAACAAATAATTCTGAAAACCTCCTTGCATGTGTATTAATAATGTATATGTATAATGTGTTAACATTTAAAAGTGTTACGGAAACGTAGGTGTAGACCAATCAGAAAGGAAGGGGGAGGGAGCTTGCGTAGTTTTTTTCAAATGAAGTACGTCTCTGTCTCTCTTTCTGACAAACTGCAGACAATCACTTTAGTGGTTTACAACAAGATGCACGGGGAGTTCAGGTGGAAATTAGCGCTCCTGCTATAACCTGGTGCAATGGCATTTTTGGGAGGGATTTTGTAAGATGTAGGAGCACTAATAAAAAATGTATATATTATTTGAACCCCTATTTTTTTTATTATAGGCCTCTACAAAAGAGATGAGATGCAGCTTGATGTTAAAAGTGCCTAAAACCAGGTGATAGAGATGCCCCATTGAGGTAGATTTCAGTTCCAAGCTTCAAGTAGACATAGACTCAAAAAGTGATCCACCAAAAGGTTGAGCAAGGGTTGAATCTTAATTTCTGTCTGATAATGTTGGTCATGTATCCATCCATTTCAATTTTACATCAGGAACTACTGCAGAATAATAATAATAATAATAATAATAAATGGTGTGGAATGGTATTGACAGTACGTTTTAGCCAACAGCAGAGATGCATTGCTACAACCTGGGACAATGCATCTCTGCTTTTGGCTAAAATTTACTGTCAATACCATTCCATCCCATTCATTCACCAATATGAATCACTACATTCATATTTTGTATTAGTTCTTTTGTCTTATTTTGAAAGGGACAGTGCACAGCTACATTAAACTCAACAGATTATAGTTACACAGCTAATTTCCATCTGCAGTCCTCGGCTACATGAAAAAAACAAGAATACAATAACATAAAATCAATGATCAATTATAGCTGGATATTGAAAAACGTTTCAGCCAACTTGACACTTTCACCATATTTCTGACCTTACGCAGACTCTTCCTGCATGAGTAAAATAACGGTGTGATTAGATAAATACAGTGAAATCAAGTGAACTACACAAGTCTATATTTTCACTCTCTGCAGCGTTAATGCCAGACTGTGGAATAGTAGAACCATCGACACGTTTGGTCGTTTGAGTCTTCTCTGTTGTTGTAGATGAACACATGAGTTCAAACAGGAGCGGAGAGTCAGCACATCCTTAATGTGTTTAACTGTTATCACTATGGGTTGGAACCTAAAGCCTAGCGTACATCGACTGGCAACTGATTATATCCGTCGCATATGAGTAGCTGCCCCGCACACATCGACAATCTGACGAAAACAGGCAACTCCCAGTAGCAGACCATCTCTGGAATAACAGTGCGTACATCGACAGCAACTGGCCTCAACTTCAGTGTGTTTTCTGACATAAACTGTTGCGGGGCGCGCAATACACACACGTTGTCGGGAGCGGCGCATGGATGCGCGCACATCGGGTCATATCTCCGAAACTGAGGACAACTAGTTGCCGAAAAGTAGAACACGGGCAACTGACTGAAACTGGAGACCGACTGTTCATCTCCAGTTGTAAGAGCGCTCACATCGACCGATTTCGGCAACTGATCATCTCCCACCATCTCCTCTCAGTCGCCAAAAGCCGCCTTGCAACTAGTTGTCTCCAGTTTCTCTGTCGATGTACGCTAGGCTTTAGGGTACCACACGATACGATACGATACGATACAAAGCTCACTACAACGATTATCTCACGACATGATGATGCAGTGATTATCGATACATTGGTCAGAAATGTACCTACGATAATATTTGTCTTATATTTATGGCATAAATTAAGTGAAAAAATACACTTTATTTCAAGATAAATGGATAAAGTGTCATGTATAACATTAAAGTGATCAGGCAAAAATGCCTTTTAACCACATTTTAGTAATTTTAATCTGTCTCACATCCAATAAAATCAATATGAACATTCTACAGAAATTTTAGAATGCGTAATGTAGCCATATATTAAGTATCAATACTTTTAATCGATACTAGCAAATGCATATCGATAATCGATTGCGTGAGAAAGCATCACGATACATCACCATATCTACTGTATATATTGTCACACTCCTAGTTATCACTGCATTCCCTTTGTTTTTTTCTTTGTTTCCAGATCTGTCATTGCTCTGGGTTCATGTCTTGAGGGGTGAAAAAAGTCTGTTTTCAATCACCCCCCATCTCCGCCCCTTTATACTGACAGGTTTGAATTCTAATCTGTCAGATCAACAATACAACACTGGGCTATAATAATGATAATAATAATACTACTTTTGGTTTATAATGCACTTCACATTCCCAAGAAACCTTTCAATACAAAAAACTGAAGAATGGATACTAAAGAAGAAAGTATCAAAAAGCTAGAAATAGTTAAAAGCTCATAAAAGTCACTATAGTTTCAAGCTCATATTGACTCCTTCATTCTGAGTTTGGAACAGAAACCGATTGGACCTTGGTTTAGTATAGAACTTCTAAGAGTATTAAGATTTGAGAGAGGAAAAGTGAAATAGTGAATAATAAGTCATAATTGTACAATGGCCTTCAAAGTTAATTACTATTTACTGTGATGCTTTTGATGGACGCACACAGGAACATAATACATGCACTATTTGTACACTAACCTACTTAAAAGTTCTCGGCTAAACGCAGCTCACATGACTCACTTTGACCAGTGCGGGAAGAATGTACTCAATATTATTACTCTAGAGCAGGGGTGTGCAGAAAGAGCTGTTATATTTTAATGGTATAGCTTGATGGAGTGAAAGATGGTTTTTTTTAGGGGTTTTCTAACAAAAGTATTATTCATTCAACATGATTTTGGATATTTAAATGAGGTTAGTTTGTTTGGGTTGAACCAAAACAGACTTCTTACTGTAAACTGATTTATTTAGGGTTATATCAGTTTTATATTGCGCTATTTTGGACACTCAAAGACGCTCCACAGCATTATTCTTTCACTCTATACACTGTGGTGATAAACTACTGTAGCTATAGCTGCCCTGGGGCACACTGACAGAAGTGAGGCCACCATTATGTGCCATCAGCCATTCACACACACACCAGAATACAATGTGGGTGAAATGTGTTGCCCAAGGACGCAACGGGCAGCTTGACACTTTACAGCCGCCATGCTTTGCCACCTGGTGTTCCCAGAGGTCTCCCATCACAATACTAACCAAGCCCTGCCCTGCTTAGCTTCAGCACTGCATCATAATCTGGCTTTGACATGAACTACAAGCCCCACCAGGTATAACTATATGAAATTCCAAGTTTACATTCTAGAATAAATGACCTGGTTGTTGTCTTGAGACCATCAGCTTTGAAATGAGGTATAACACGCCATGGTAGCAATCTGAATACATTACGGTCAATGCTGAAAGTGAATCATATTAATTGAAAATCTGACATTTTGCTTCTTTTTTTTTCGTGTTGTAGAATGTTTATGTGATCTCTAAAAACGTGTGACCTGAGATCTGGTGCACATATTGGCCAAAGAAAACAAACTACTACTACAATTGTACGAGAAATGCACGGATAATCGCAGTATCGCCGCATCGTGAAACCAATCGAGCAAAACAGTTTAGATAAAGTTTGTTTTTCCCTCCACAGCAAGGCGGCGTGTTGTCCCTGATCGACTGCACCCTGATCGAGGAGCCAGACGGCAGCGAGGAGGACTGTGAGTGCATATTTACCACCTCTTCCGTCGGGTTGATTAGAAGCCAAACCATAACCGTCCACAGATGACTCCCCTTTAAATATCACCGGCGTTTCTCACATTACTGCTCCATTAAGTTACTGTGGCTGCAGTATTTCACGGAGCACGATTCACACAAACTCACTCTGGCTAAAGTAAAGTGTTTGCCTCCGAGCGTGAAAGAGATGGATCGTCTTTATCCTTGTTATCTTTGTGGGATTTTAATGTTTTTTTGACTCCCACGCGACATATTCACAAACAGATGCTAAAGTCAAAATCCTATTGGTTCGTCTCAGTAACTGCATCTGTTTGGATTCCTTATTTTGTACATTTTAGATGATAGAGAGAAAAATAGAAAGGAAGGAAGGAAGATAGATAGATTCTTTATCTATCCTCATTGGAGAAATTCAAGTGTCCAGCAACAGAACATCCATACAAACATAAATAAATAAATAATTCTTTAAGTGATGAAGTTTAACTGTAAACATAGATTTACAGAATGGACAAAGAGCTAAAAGATACAGTAGTGAAATGAGTTATGCATGCATGTGTATGTACAGTATGTATGTATGCATGCATGTGTATGTAAGTATGTACAGTACATTATGTGTATGTATGTACTCTATGTATGTATGTGTATATATGTATGTACTGTATGTACTGTATGTACTACATTAATGTATGCAGTTACTTTCAGCGATACTGTTGTTACCAAAATGTATGTACTGTTTGTATGTATATATGTGTATGTATGTACTGTATGTATGTATGTATGTATGTATGTATGTGTATGTACTGTATGAATGTGTGCAGTTACTGTCAGTGATGCTGTCTTTACCAAAACACAATCAGTGAGATTATGTGTGTGTTTCTTCAGCCAAAGCCGGGCAGGGCTTCGGTCAGCTCGACTTTAAACTGGTCATCGAGCCGTCAGACCTGCCGTCCTTCACCGTGGTTCTGTTGGCGCCGTCGCTGCAGGAGAAGGCTGCATGGACCAGTGACATCAGCCAGGTGAGAAACACACACAACACATACACACACACACACACACCTGGTGCAGTGCAATTTTACAGTCCTAATACACAGCCATAGAATGAAAACAGAAAGAGCAAAAGGAGCCTTTAGAACAGACCTGGGTGAAGCCAAATTCACGTTTCTTTTTAAATGAATCATAATTACAACCCAATGAATGTCTGTAACTTCTATTCGCAACACTAAGCTTTAGCTTTTGTCCAGCTTTGGTTCAATCCAAGCAAGAATTGAAATCTATAAACATCTAAAAAATACAATCCATATTTATAGATATAGCCGCAAATGGAAAAGATGAGCCAACACTTTACACAAACAAAACATTGATATTTTTCCATCTCCTTCTCTTCTGTAAATACTTTGTTGTTACATTTTTAACTGAAGTAGCTTACACTCAAATATGCTGTTCCAAATTAAATGGTAACTACATGAATTAGAATATAAATATAACAGAAAAGCCCTTTATATATTCTTTAACACATTTACAATACATTATAGTAACACACACAAAACAACATAATGAAACCTCCTCAGACATCCTCCAGGGACGCACAGATATCAGGGGAATCCGGAGTGTAAACAATTTTAATATTCATGAAACTGAGAATAATCCTGTCCTTGTGTGCAGTGCATTGATAACATTCGCTGTAATGGCTTGATGACAAGTGTGTTTGAAGAGAACTCCAAAGTGACCGTGCCTCATATGATCAAGTAAGTGTGTGTGTGTCATGGCCAGCATACTTTACGTTCACATTGGTTTTTTAACAAGTTCAGCCTTTATTTAACATTGGATTGTACTCTGCAAAAAAGGATAAAATATGAAATTGCTTGAACCGAGTGGATTTTATCTTAATTTGAGCACATTGTGACTGTCTTAAAACCAGATTTGCCAAAGGGACAAAGCCATTTATCTGATTTCAAGAACTGCCAAGGAACATATTTCTTGTATCCTAAATTCTAGTTCTAGATTACTGCCACAACTTAATTATTAGGATTTCATTGGTCATCATTGGTCATCTGCCTCTTATGGACAGATGGACACATGGACAATGCCAATGTGTTTTCTTTTTTTCTATCTTGAGTTTGGAATGTTTGATTCTCTGACCTGTGTTGGCGAATTCAACGGTTGTGTAAAGTCCTCAGAGATAAGTAAATACTGTTGTGATTTAGGGCTCTACAAGAATACATTAAATTGAATTTGCTCAGGGGTGACAGTGGCTCAGTCAGAGCATTGGCCTTTGAGCCTGAAGGTTGTGGGTTCGACCCCACCATGAGACCTTCTCCACCGATTCCCACTGATGACTGTCGTTGTGTCCTTGGGCAAGACACTTAACCCCACTTTGCCTGAAGCCCCAGCTGAAAGATCAAGGCTATGCGGCCATCCTCCTGTGGCCTCAGCACCTGCAGGAGGATCAGTGAGGGGCTAGTGCTCTGTGTACTGGGTGGCATCTCTGGCCCCGACCCAGAAATGGATTAAGGGGTAGAAAATGGATGGATGGATGAATTTGCTCATTGTCCCATTGGCAATCTTGTTTTAAGGCAGTCAAAATGTGCTATAATTAAGATAATTTTTTGCCAAATTTGAGCAATATTTGACTTATTTTCATCCACTTTTTGCAGTGTATGAGTATTTGATGTCTTATTGAGTGTGATTTATTTTTCTCTTTGGTAACAATCCTATACTTTCCTGCCCAGTCACCCATGCTCGCTTATGTCTGTATGTGCAATATGATTTATCAGATCCGATGTCCGTCTCCATAAAGATGATGTTGACATTTGCTTCAGCAAGACGCTCAACTCGTGTAAGGTCCCGCAGATCCGCTACGCCAGCGTGGAGCGCCTCCTGGAGAGGCTCACAGACTTACGCTTCCTGTCCATTGACTTCCTCAACACCTTCCTGCACACGTACCGGATCTTCACCACGGCGGCTGTGGTCATGGACAAACTTGCCGACATCTACAAGAAGCCCTTCTCCTCCATCCCCATCAGGTCTGACAGCACCCAGCACCGACAGACTCACCACAGACCGGACACTAACAGAGGCTATTCTAGAGGACAATGTGATGAGACTAGAACTCCAAGAGCAGTCAATTTGACAGCTTTTGATTTGGAAGTGTAATTACAAAGCTTATGTACGGTTTTGGTCTGCCTGGCCTCTCTCTCTTGTGTCTCTCCTTGCTCTCTTTCAGGTCTCTTTATGGTCTCTCTCTGTCTTCTCTCCGATATCTCTCTGGTCCCTCTCTCACCCCTGGACAATTCTGTCACACTAAAGTGACCCCTTACTAAAAGGTTTGGACACTCCAGACTGTCTCCAGAGCTTAGACAGGTCCTAAAATAACAAATAACAAATCTCTCTTGCAGCTTCTGGAATCGTGGAAATACATCTCTGAACCGGTTCTTTTTCTATTGGCTTTAAAACAATCCCATCATCACTAACTAATGTGGCCCTTTGACTAACTAACTAACACTCATTCATTCACTTTATGGCCGTTTTCTTTACTGGTCTATATTTATTTTTTTTGCTTATGAACAGAAGCTAAACGCAAGAAACTAGGGCACTTGAACAAGACATGAGTGGCATATTTGAAGTAATCCGAGAGAAAAGGGATTAGAGAAATAGCGACAGAATACTGGATCAATGTGCTTCTGTATTGACGCAGGGAACAGAGGCCGTGACTCGAATCAGCCCAGAGTCACTGTTTCGCTTACGTGAGGCTTTCTGTGATTGTCTTGGGGAATGCTGTAGAATACATTGGGAATACACAGATGGTTGGAGAGAAAATGCAGGAGGCAAGACATTTTATTTCAATGTGTTTTTGTATAAAGCCCTAATTGTCGAAAGGACTTTACAAATGTCTCATCTGACCACCAATCCTTCAGATATCAAAATATTATAAGATTGACATGAAATAAATAGATAAATGTCCTTCTATGTCAACACTGGCCTTAGAGCAGGCAGATCAAACCCTGGCCCGAGAGCCTGATCCGGCCCACAAGACCATTTTTAGTGGTCCCTGAAATTATTTTTACAGTTTTACGGTTTACAGTAACTTGCAGCATTGATGGTAATGGGCTATTATGGTGTGTTATACTTCATTTTAAAGCTTATTTTCTCCGCAAAACAGCCATATAATTGAATCTGTTGTAGAATGTGAATTTACTAACAAGTAATTAGGAGTTCAGTAAGATTTATTTGATTTGACTATGAATCTTCAAATTACATATTTTTTTTATATTGGGCGAGTTGTGATTGACTCTACACATTCTAGAAAATAACATCCAGACTCATGTCAAATAAAATGAATTTGTCAAAATATAAAATTATATATATACAGTATATATATATAAAAAAAATCATACTTTTGGCCCCAACCAGCTCTAGAATTTTTAAACTTGGCTCCCGACCAAACTGACAGCCCTGCCCTAGAGCATCATATACAGTGAGAAAAACTTAGGTTATATTATGTCTTTTTATCCACATTCCTCTTCATCCTGGACCTGGTGCCATGTTTTTACTTGTCCTCATTCATTGCTGGTCTTCTCATCGAAGCACACTCACTCATGCTAACGGTGTCTGTCGTCTGTGGTCCGTCCGCAGCTACAGGACGCAGTATCACTCATTTGATCGTCTGTCCATCTCATCCATCTGTCCCGACTACAGCACCAGGATCAAGAAGATAACCATCGACCAGTCCAAGTAACACGCAACACGTCTGTCCTCTGCTTCTGCTTCCTCCATGCATGCATTCAAGCCGGGTTTCTGTTTAAAAAGTGTATTCTGGTTTCAGTCTTCCACCTTAACTAACATGTATTTATATGTTTCTCCTCATACTCCTCTCACATAATGAATCATTCTGTGCCAGGACAATAAGGGTTTAGAAATATATTTAAATCAAGTCAATTCAATGTATTTTTCTATGAGCCTAAATCAAAACAGCAATGTTCATAAATATTATTAAATGTCCATAAATAATTTCTATTTCTTTCAAAACTTTCTTTCTGTTCAGTAAAGTTAAATTTGTGATTAAGAAATGCTTTCCTCTCTGAACCAGGAATATATGCACAACTACAGCCTTCTACTACTGCTCGAAGGCTTTTGTAACAATAATTAGTGGCCACACCTGCATATAAATCTGATCTCACCAGACCTCTGAAGCTAAGCAGGGAAAGGTCTGATTAGTACGATGATGGGAGACCTCTGGGAACACCAGGTGCCACAGTGGGGCGGCTGTTCAGTGCCAAACTCTCAAAGTATCCTTAGGCAAGACACTTCACCTACATTATATGAGTCTGGTGTATGAGTGAAGGGTTGGTGCTGGTTGGAGGGGCTGCTGGCACAGATTAGTAGAATTTCTTCTGTCAGTGTGCCCCAGGGCATCTATGGCTGCAGTAGTTTATATAGTATATATATTCTTTTAGTTACAATAAGGATAATTTTTTGTCATTATTCACACAACACAATCTAACCAGATTGATGGTTAGTCTTTCACAGTAATATCAGTCTCAGCTCCACTCCTACATCTGTTATAAAAGGATTAAACCTCATATTTGATACGGATCTCTAAAATAAAGCCACAAAACATTGGGACTTTTTCTTTTCAGATTTGGATAGAGGTGTTTGGACCCTCTTGATGTGATGCACAAGCACTGTGCCACCGTGCCGTGATAGAACCAAACCGTTTTGACACAGCAGATTTTTCATTATAGTTCAATTGTTTGTGGTTTGAAAGTTAGGTTCCCCAGCTTTAATGACTCAATTTTCCCTTTGTGATTGACTTTATATCCTTCGTTCATGAGAAAGCGGCTTGAATTCACTTGAAAAGCTTGAAATATGTTTTGAATCTTCCTCTCGCAGGTCTCTGGAGTTGTTCTTTGCCACGAGCCAGAACAACAGAAGCGGCGAGCACGTCAACGACAAATCTCCTCGTCTTTGCCGCAAGTTCTCTTCGCCGCCGCCGCTGTCCATCCCGTCGCGCAGCTCGTCCCCCGTGAGGACGCGAAAGCTCTCCCTGCACTCCCCCGTGGCCTCTAGGGCGGGGGGCCTGGACCTCAGCGGAGCCACAAACAACCACACGGCGGGGTCGCAGTCCGCAGCCAGCAGCCCAACCTCCGCTCCCTGCACGCCTCAGACTCCCGCGGTCTCCCCCCCACCTCCCCCATGCACCTCCCCTCCCCACAGTAACGGCCGGCTGCCCCAGGACCAGGCCTCACCCACTCCGCTGTCACCGGAGCAGAGTCCAGGGGCGGAGGGCGAGGAGCTGCCCCGAGCCGACGCCTTCTGTGGGAAACTCCGCCGCAGCATCCGCAGAAGTAAGATTTTGTTTACACTAAATACTTTTTTGTTATGGCTTATATGATTCAAAAGCAAAAAAAAAAAGTGTTGATAATAAAACTAAAAATAACCTTCATATAAACACGATTGTAAGAGTGTGACGCTTTTTTTTTTTTTTTTTTTTCGCGAGCAAGCTTAGTTATATCCATCAGAGATTAACAGAAACGGTTTTGAAAAGGGCGTCGATACAAGACAAGACGAGACACACACAAACACGCACACACACACAGACACACATACAGACACACACACACACACACACTAAGTTACTCCACACACTGTTTTTGTCACAGAGACAGGCGTGTCCGAGCCAAGGCCCTCGGGGCTAATTGCGGCCATGTCATGTTGTGTGGTCCTCTGCTTTGCAAACAGAAAGTAGTTTTTGATATTATAAACACAAATCACTAAAAGTTCACAGCATCATCCAGCCAACTTCAGCTCAGCCAATATGTTGCACCTTTGTGGGAAGCACAGGATTCCTGGAAACCAGTTATTGACTTACCTTTGGTCTCTCAGTCTGGTCTCTCTCTGCTCTTTATCTGGTCTCTCTCTCTGGTCTCTTTCTGGTCTCTTTCTGGTCTCTTTCTGGTCTCTTTCTGGTCTCTTTCTGGTCTCTCTCTGGTCTCTTTCTGGTCTCTTTCTGGTCTCTCTCTGGTCTCTCTCTGGTCTCTCTCTGGTCTCTCTCTCTGGTCTCTCTCTCTGGTCTCTCTCTGGTCTCTCTCTGGGCTCTCTCTGGTCTCTCTCTGCTCTCTCTCTGCTCTCTTTCTGCTCTTTCTGGTCTTTTTCTGCTCCATCTCTGGTCCCTTTGTGATCTCTCTCTGGTCTCTCTCTGGTCTATTTCCTACATGCAACAAGTCTCTTCCCTCTGCTGGATAGCAGCAGTTTTTCTTCGGCATGTCACAGTTGCTGGTGGCTATAATGATGTCTAAATGTTATCTATCTGCAGCGTTTGTGTTTTAACAGCAGTGCGGCCGCGTTTCTCGGCGTGAACGGCCTCGCAGGACATCATTATCTCCCGTTTACTGCGTTCTCCGTGATGAGTTCCACACGTGCAGCTGTGCCGTTGGTCCGCAGAGCAGATCCAAGCCCTGCTTTGTTGGACGTTCATTAGCAAAACACACAGACGAGTGGAACGTGTTTGTGTTTGCTGCTGGAGCCGTCGGCCTCGGTGTCGTTAGGCAGTTTCCTGCTGCTTCAGTTTGGATTTCTTGGAAAAGTCGTTCAAGCATTGATTCAAATAACCAGTTTTTGAATCATTGCTGGGGGTTTAGGGCGGGATATCCGGGTTTGACGAAAGCAAGAAGTGCCGGACCGAAGCAAAACAAACATGGCTACGCAGGAGGACAGACGCGTAGCTGAGGCTATCAAGTCAGTTATAGCAGAATCTCCAATTTCTTTTTTGAAAGATGAACAGCGAGAGGCGCTTTGTGTATTTCTGGACGGCAACCTTGGTAGGCGGGCACACAGCGTCACTTCGCCCAATCAGCTTGAAGGATTCTGCTGCTTATCCCTCCTTTCCCCGAAAGGATTCTCCTGCAGAAGTCCCAGATTGATATTGTGGAGAATGCATTAGAGTTCTACACAATCATCAATCTGGCTCTTGCCAGGTTAGTGAGCTGGTTAGATGGTAAACATGTGTCATTCAGCCAACTTCAGCTCTGATCATTTTGAAGCTCAGAGCCAGCCAGTCAAGACAGTTTTTTTTAGTCCGTTACGTCGGCCCCCGGACTATTCTGGTGAACTAATGTGGCCCTTTGACTAAAATGTTTGGACACTCCTGCCCTAACTCCATATCTCCCAGAACGGTCAGTCTATTAGTATAATAATAATAATAATAATAATAATAATAATAATAATAATAATAATAATAATGATAATAATGATAATTAATAATGTCACTTTACAGCCACAGCTGCACCACTGTGGCACTTGCTGTTCCCAGAGGTTCTCCATCACAGCACTGACCAGGCCCTGCCCTGCTTAGCTTCAAAGGTCTGACAGGAACGTTTTTCACATGCAGGTCGGGCCACAATGACATACTTAAGCCACAATTTGAGCATAATCCATTTTTGGGAGAGAAAAAACCTGCAGAACTCCAAGAACACTGATATGAGAATTAAGTGCAACAAATCTAAGGTTCGTCAAGTCCTGTAAGTGCGAGACTGTTTCGTAGTAATTTGCAAATGGAACAAGCACAACATGTCCTGGTTTACTGAAATTACATAATGACGAGCAATTTCTTAAGTTTGACAAAAACGGGGAATTTGAGTCAACGGACAAGAAAAACTAGAAGACAAATCCGGGTTTTGGGGTTTTAACATACATACAATACAATTCAACTCTCTAAGTCCAATTTATACAATTCATACATACAACGATAGATTAGAATTTTCTGAATCCATCTGTGAGATGCGGAGGATTTGTCAGCGTTAAATAGAGATAGAGATAGAAATGTATCATAGTCTGCTGCAGATGTCAACGATCCATCTCAAAGGAGGCAAGGCAAGGCAAGGCAAGGCAAGTTTATTTGTATAGCACAATTCATACACAAGGCAACTCAAAGTGCTGAACAAGATAGCATTAAAATCATAAATAATTACAGAACATTAAAACGAAAGATAAAAATATAAAATCCCTCAGTTGTATGCACAGCTAAACAGCACCGTTTTTAACCTGGTTTTAAACATTGTCAGAGAGGAGGCCTGTCTCACATCTTCAGGAAGATTGTTCCAGATTTTAGCAGCATGGATCTGAAAAGCAGCCTCCCCATGTTTAGTTCTGACTCTGGGCACTAACAGGAGTCCAGTCCCTGTGCTCCTCAGAGTCCGGGCTGGTTCATATGGGACTAACATGTCACTAATATATTTTGGTGCGAGGCCATGGAGAGACTTGTACACAAGCAAAGCTGTTTTAAAGTCTATTCTCTGAGCCACAGGAAGCCAGTGGAGAGACCTGAGGACCGGACTAATATGGCCGTACTTCCTGGTTCTAGTCAGGACTCGAGCTGCTGCATTTTGAATGTACTGCAGCTGTTTTACAGCCTGTTTGGACAGACCTGTGAGCAGGCCATTGCAGTAGTCTAACCTACTGGAGACAAATGCATGGATAAGAATCTCCAAGTCTGCTTTAGACACTATGTTTTTGATCCTGGCAATGTTTTTTAGATGGTAAAAAGCTGCTGATGTTACTGATTTGATGTGGCTATTAAAATTTAAGTCTGAGTCCAGTATTACCCCTAGATTTCTGACCTTGTTTGAAGGTTTTAGGGAGAGAGACTGTAGGTGACAGATGACGCTCTCTCTTTGTTTCTGGGGACCAAAGACAATCATTTCAGTTTTGTCTGCGTTTAGCTGAAGGAAGTTGTTTTGCATCCACTCACTGATCTGTTGGATACAGTGAAGGAGTGAGTCCACTGGTCCATGTTCTCCTGCAGTCAGTGAGACATAGATCTGAGTGTCGTCTGCATAGTTATGATAGGAAACTTTGTTTCTGCGTATTAACTGACCTAACGGCAGCATGTAGAGATTGAACAGAAGAGGTCCCAGGATCGACCCCTGTGGGACTCCACAGGTCAGGGCCATATGATCTGAGACACAGTTTCCAATCTCCACAAAGTACTTCCTGTCTTCAAGGTAAGACCTAAACCAACTTAGGGCGGTGCCAGCGACTCCAACCCAGTCCTCTAGTCTCTGTAAGAGGATCTCATGGTCGACGGTGTCAAAGGCAGCACTTAGATCTAACAGGATTAGGATTGAGACTTTGCCTGCGTCAGTGTTCAGCCGGATATCATTTGTAACCTTGACGAGAGCAGTCTCAGTGCTGTGGTGGGGTCTAAAGCCGGACTGAAACATATCAAATGAGTTGTTGATTATAAGAAATCTAGTAAGCTGTAGGTAGACAACTTTCTCAAGGACTTTCCCCATAAATGGCAGATTTGAGATGGGACGATAGTTGTTAAGTACCGTAGCATCCAGACTGCTCTTTTTTAGCAGGGGCCTGATGACTGCAGTTTTCATGGCCTTTGGGAATATTCCAGAATCAAGGGACATGTTTACTATCTGTGTGAGTGAAGGTAACAGACTGCTCAGAACAGACTTTAGAAATCTAGTGGGTAGTACATCCAGGCTGCATGTGGAGGAGCTCAAACTGGAGATTATCTCTTGGACAGTTTGATCATTTACAGGTGCAAAGTAAGTTAGCTCAAAGAGCCTTTCTGGCTGTTGGATTGTTATCTGTGGATTCGAGACAATGGCGTTTTTGATGCCTTGAACCTTGTCATTGAAAAAATGTGCAAACTCATTACATTTACGTTTGGAAGTTAGCTCTAATGGCATTTGAACAGGGGGGTTTGTTAATCTATTAACTGTTGAAAACAGAACACGCAGATTGTTGCTGCAGCCTTCAATCATTTCAGAAAAATACCTTTCTCTCGTACTACGTAGCACCTGGTTAAACTCGCACAACTTATCTTTGAAGATCTTGTCATCAACCTGGAGGTTGGACTTGCGCCACTTCCGCTCGGCCCTCCGGCACTCTCTCTTTTGTGCCCTGACCGAGTCTGCTTTAGCCCACGGCGCCTTCTGCTTATTTTTCACTATTTTAACCTTCACAGGAGCGATGGTGTCCAGAACTTTCAAAACACTAGAGGTGACAGAGTTAAACAGTTCATCTACAGTAGAATACGATGCATTCTCAAAGTTTATCATTCCCATAAATAGTTCACCCGTATTTTCATTTATGTGTCTTCTTCGTACAGTTGCAGAGTCCACTGGTGGTTTGTTAGTGAAACACATGTCAAAAAATATACAAAAATGATCCGAAAGCGCAACATCGACCACGTTTACATTATAAATGTTCGCCCCCTTTGTAACTAACAGGTCTAGAGTGTGCCCTTTGCTGTGGGTGGGGCCACTCACATGCTGAGTGAGACCAAAAGATTCAAGAAGAGAACTCAGCTCTTTAGCATTTCTGTCATCAACATTATCCACATGAATATTAAAATCACCTGTAATAACTAAACTATCAAAATCTGTGCATACAACTGAAAGCAACTCTGTAAAATTATCAATAAAACTGTGACATGACTGCGGTGGCTTGTATAGGACAACGAAAAGTATTGGAGGAGATTGTTTTTGTTGTATTTTAAAAGACACATATTCAAAAGACGGAAACTTCCCAAGAGACATTCTATGGGAGACAAAGTGGTCTCTGAAAATGGCAGCTAAGCCTCCTCCTTTTTTGTTTTCCCGTATTTCAGATTCAAATTTGAAATTTGGTGGTGATGCTTCTATTAAAACTGCATTTTCTGTATTTTGGTCAAGCCATGTTTCAGCCATGAACATAAGATCTAGATTATAAGAACAAATAAAATTATTGATTAAAAAAGACTTGTTACAAAGAGATCTGACATTTAGCATAGCAAGTTTAAAAGTTTCAGGATCAGCGGTTGGAAAACCTGAATATTTTCAGAAAATCAATTTACGTTGGAAACTTCACAAAGTCCAACGTGAAACCAAGTATGAGTTGATAATGGATTCACAGCTGTAAAAACTACCCAGGTCTGGTTTAGACACTACATGGGAAGAGTCTAGCCTCGTGTGTCTACTCCTGAAGTCTACAACGTCCTACAACAGATTTAATTGAAGTTCTTAGTGACATTTTCCGAAATTGATTTTCTGAAAATATTCAGGTCGATAAATGCAGTCTTGGTGAATTGCAATTTGCAGCTATTCAAGTCCCGTTTCATTTTCTTTCAATATGTATCTATGCAGTATTCAGCCCTTGACTATTGAAGAAGAAGGTCCTTTATTCGTCCCACAATGGGGAAATTTCAGTTTGATTCATACACATACACGTATACACATACACATACATATACACACACACACACATATACATACACATATACATACACACGCACACACACACACATATACAGTGCATACACATACACATACACATCAAGGCAAGCAGCGGACATCACTTCCGCGCATCCTATTAACAGGATGTGTAGAAATCCAGCAACTAATGGTTGTGCGTCTGTCTGTGTGTGTCTGTGTGTGTGTGTGTGTGCGTGTATGTGTGTGTGTTTGTGTCTGCTTTAGCCGTGCTGGAGTCTGTGTCATTGGAAAAGATCCTGCCTGAATCTCCCCAAAGCAGTGAAGCTGGAGACATGTCGCCATGCCGCTCCCCCTCCACGCCACGCCACCTCCGCTACCGCCAACCCGGAGGTGCCAGACCACCAACAACACACACACACTCAAGCCAGCAACACACTCAGGCCAACTACACACTCAGGCCACTCTCTCTCCATGTTTGAATCTGCGTCAGATTTCTGCTGACCCCAGAATTCTTAATCTGAATTTCTTGCAAACCATACTTACCATACTATACTTGTATATACAGTGCTTTGTGAAAGACTGAAATATTGTCGTTAGATGAAACCAAAATATTACGTTTTGTCCCAATGTTATGTATGGCTCAAAACTACTCATCACTATCTGCCATCTTGGAAACCTCGGGCTTGATCCAGCTTCATTTTGGAGTGTCTCTCTTTGCATCATCATAGTGAGCTTGCCATTGGAGCTCTCGCTTTGTCAAATTACTTGTTTATTATATTTCAAATTTCCCTTTATTTAAATCTTGTAAAGATAGATAGATTTATTGATCCAAAAAGGAAATTGTGCATTGGTCCCTTGCTCGCAATCATACAAACATAGGTAAGAGTTAAAAGATACAAAACAGTTAAAAAAGACAAGACAATAAAATACATTACAATTGTTAAAAGAGAAGTTAAGGCACTGCAAGACAATTCTCAAGACCTCTTACTCCCCCCCCCCCCCCCCCCCCCCCCTGCTCTTCCCTGAAGTGGCTTTGTTATAGAGCCTGATGGCGTTGGGGACAAAAGAGAGCATGTAAATATGCTTACTAGTTTTACTATGCAACTTTAGCTAATCATTTTCCCATCTTGGAAGAATCGATGAGCATGATGCTGCCACCCCCATGTTTACACCAGCGTCAAACATGGGGGTGGCAGCATCATGTTATGGGCCTGCAGGTGGCTGTGTAGAAAATAGCTTAGATTAATGAGCTCCTGCCAGGAGCTTTACCTAAATCATAAAAAGACAAACAAGAAAAGGAGGCTCCATTGAAAAAAAGGTTATAGACAGAAATTATAGACCACTGTTGAAATGATTATTTGTTTGTCTATTTGAACACTAAAGTATTCAAAAGGAGTGGGCTGAAACAAAAAGCTTATGAGCACCCAACGCCCACTCAATGCAATCAAACTTTTCATATCACAATAAAAAAATAACAGTCAGTTCTCCATAAAGCACAAACGGAGAACTATTGCCAACAGCTGTGAATACAAACATCATATCTTTTGTGTCTTTTTGCTCTGTGGTTCTACAGTGCAGTCGGCTGAAAACTCCCGACACGCGGTTTCTCCGGCTTCGGCTTTTGCGATCGCCACGGCAGCAGCAGGACACGGGACTCCACCAGGTCAGACGCCAGATAATACGAGTCCAAACTCATCAAAGAGCATTGAGCCTCATTTACGAATAACTTCGTCAGAAACTTCTTAAATTTCTTCTCAAGACGTTCTTCAGTAGATTTCTAAGAAGACCCTACGTGGCATTCATCAACGCGCTCGTAAGCCGCTGAATTGTTCGCAGCTGTTCTCTCAGATTGATGAATGCCAACTCCTCGTAAGTAGAGCGCGCGTGCCCGATGCTTCATTAGCATAGGTACTTAGCATAGGTAACCGCCCATTAATGCCCATATAAGGGACTGCAGGGCCATGTGCAGACGCCAGAGGAAACAGCAACAGGCCTAAAGCAAAGAGTTACACGGAGCAAAAGAGTCACTAGCGAACTAGCAAAATGATGAGATTAATCTCAAAATGTTATGAGATTAATTTAAAAATATATTATGTTTTAATTTAAAAATTAATCTCAAAATGTTATCCACTTTTCCAATCCAATCCAATCCACTTTATTTATATAGCACATTTCATAAACACGCAGTTTCCAAAGTGCTGCACAACATGCAAAATTGCAACAAATAAATAAATACACACATTTATATAAGAAAATACATAAATAAATAAAATAAAATAAAAACACAGAGGACCACACGACTCACGCGGTGTTAAAAGCCAGAGAATAAAAGTGGGTCTTAAGACGTGACTTAAAACATTCCAACGAGGGAGCTGTTTTGACGTGGGGGGGCAGGGCGTTCCAGAGCTTTGGTCCAGCCACAGAGAAGGCCCTGTCCCCCCGGGTTTTAAGTCTCGTCTTAGGCACCACGAGCTGGAGCTGGCTCTCGGACCTCAGTGCGCGGGGCGGGTGGTAAATCTGGATGAGGTCCGAGATGTAAGGAGGGGCCAGTCCATTCAGAGCTTTAAAAACAAACAATAAAATCTTAAAATCAATTCTAAAATGAACAGGAAGCCAGTGCAAGGACGCAAGGACGGGAGTGATGTGGTCGCGCTTTTTGGTTCCTGTTAAAAGCCGTGCCGCAAAGTTCTGGACTAACTGTAGCCGGTGAAGTGCCTTGTGTGAAATACCGGAGTAGAGTGCGTTACAGTAGTCCAGACGTGAAGAAATAAAAGCGTGCATAACTTTTTCAAAAAGGTTAAAAGATAAAAAAGTTTTAACCTTGGATAAAAGCCGCAGATGATAAAAACTCGATTTTAAAACACTGTTGACCTGCTTGTCAAATTTAAAATCACTGTCTATAGTGACGCCAAGGTTGGTGACTGTGGGACGCACATGTTCACTCAGCGGTCCCACATCCACCTGGTTGGCCCCAAAGAGAATCACTTCTGTTTTTTTATCATTCATTTTAAGAAAGTTTTGGGCCAACCAAGCCTTGTTATGAGATTAATCTAAAAGTATTTTCGACCCTGAGAGGAGATCCAGCACTGAGACCAGCGCGGACCGAGGAGAGACCGCATAGACTGAGACCAGCGTGGACCGAAGAAAGACCGCATAGACTGAGACCAGCGCGGACCGCATGAGACCAGCATGAGACCAGCATGAGACCAGCGCAGACCGAAGAGAGACCGCAGCGACTGGAGAGACCATATGGAGAGACCAGCGCGGTCCTCCTGTTGCAGCAGTATATATTCCATTGTTTTGTGACCCATGGATGGATAAATGTCCCCTATCAATAGGATGGGGTCACTAACGGCATGATTTCCAATGTATTTGATAAAGCGTTGGCGCATTAAGTTTACAAATGAATTTAAAAAATGACTAAATTACCATAAACAATGAAATAAATAAATACATACATCAATATGGCAAACATATCACTGTAATGTTGTATTTTATTGAATGTGCGTAAGAGTGCTCCTGAGCACTCGTAGGATTTGTACTTACCCAAGAGAAATTCTGCTTACGAGAAATATTCGTGAATGCCACATTCTTTGTAAAATCCTCGTAAGTAGGATTTACGCACAAATTTGTTCGTAAGAACCGATCGTGAATGAGGCCCAATGTTTTCTGTGTTGTAGGTGTTTTTGCTTCAAATCTAATGCTTTCACAAAGGTCCGGGATGTTAGTCTTCTTAGATTTTTTTTTTGACTTTTTCATTGCCTAAAGTCTTGTCTTCTGCTTATTTTTAAGATTAAGTTTAGGAGATCCTTTATGGGATGACATGTGCATTAGTATCAAACATGGAGGGGGGGGGTAGCATCATGTTATGGGTCAGCAGGTGAAGATTTTCTGCATAGGTATAGGTGTAACGGTAAAAACTTCCTCTTATTAAAATACTTTGAAATCAATTTAAATCGATTGATTCTTTTGCTTGTGTCATACAATTAATAGTTAATAGTTCCTCCGTGTTGGTTTCTTGCTCCTCACTCCCAGCCGCTGTGTTGCTGTGGTGTTTTTCAGTGTTTACAAACTCAGAACGAACCTGTGATAAAGAGTTCATCATCCGCAGAGCCGCGACCAACCGCGTCCTGAACGTGCTGCGCCACTGGGTCTCCAAGCACTCCCAGGTCAGAGACACGGGGAGAACATGCAAAACCCCACTCACACGAACATCCTATTCATTAAAGCAACTGCAGTAACTGACTCTGGGCACCAGCAGGAGGCCAGTCCTTGTGCTCCTCAGAGTCCCAGCAGGAGGCCAGTCCCTGTGCTCCTCAGAGTCCCAGCAGGAGGCCAGTCCCTGTGCTCCTCAGAGTCCCAGCAGGAGGCCAGTCCCTGTGCTCCTCAGAGTCAGAGTTGGTTCATATGGCACTAAATCTTACTTTGGTGTGAGGCCATGGAGAGACTTGTTGAGAGCAGCTTTTAGGTCCATTCTCTGAGCCACAGGGGCCAGTGCAGAGAGCTGAGATCTGGACTAATGTGATCGTACTTCCTGGTTCTCGTCAGGACTCGACCTGCAGCTTTGGTTGTTTGCTAAGAGAGGGGGGAGGGTACAAGCAGCTCACTCCTCTCCCCTTTTACATTTGACTCTTGCGGTCTCATTAGAGGCTTTCTCCGTGCTCTGACGCTTCGGTTTCTACAGTCGCATTGCTCTCACTATCACCGAGCCATCACTGCTACCGCCCAACAACTTTCCCCCGACCAAGCAAATGTAATAAATTGAACCCGAACGTAATTGCCTGATTCCTGTCCAGAGGTTGCTCCAAGGAAGCCCAACTGTATTGATAGGTTTATGCTCTTTCTTCAATAATACAAAACGCTGTGTTGACAGGGCCGCCGTAATTGGTCAATTAACACTGAAAGGCCGCTGTACTGTGTGAATGTGTGCTCCCACTCACTCCTGGAACAAAGCGCTTGTTAACCAACCCCCAAATGAAGTGAAAAGGAAGAGGACTTAGTGTAAACGCAAGTGTTTTTTATCCAGAAAAGATCTCTCAGCAGATTCAGGAGCCGGTGGGCCTCATTATTTGAGATGGTACACACCGGACTTGCTTCTATGTAGGTGTTGTTTTGTTGTTTCCGTACGACAATTCTCAATTTAAGGTGAGATTCTGCAGGTGAATCAGAATCAAAAGAAAGAAAGGGTCTGAGGTTTTCTGTGGGAAAGAAAGAAACGTTAAAAGAGAAATTGTCCAGATGTTTCCCCAGATCATCATTTGATTGTGATGAGATACACTGGCCAAGATCAGCTGCCGCCACGACAAGAAATGTGTTAATGTGACATCACAATATTCCAAAAAGCCCATAGTTAAACATTGTGCTGGAGGGAAGCTGAAAAATCTACCCATGGGAACTGTCGAAGTTTCTCTGATAATTCTTGGGTCAATCTACATGAAACAAAAACTGTCCCAAAGTTCCACGTTTTCTTTGTAAGCAAATATCAACTATGGTCTAATTATTTTCTCATAAAGGTGTCTATAGCAGCAGTGAAAATAATCAAAAATTGTCTATGATGTTGATGTTGTTGCATGGTTATCTCTGAACTTTTGAGATCTGAAAAACTAATCCATTACTCCAAAGGCCAACTAATCAATTCTAGAAATGATCATTAATTACAGCCCTAGAATCACTGTGGAATTGTGTATCATTAAAACTGTGTGTTTGTATGATGTCATTGTTTAGGACTTTGAAATGAACGCTGAGCTGAAGATGTCTGTGGTGTGTCTCCTGGAGGAAGTCCTTCGAGACCCAGACCTGCTCCCACAGGAGCGGAAAGCCACCGCCAACATCCTCAGGTACATTCAACAGCATTGGATGTATGACATATACAGTATAATACATATGTTGGAATATGCATATTTTCAAAAAAATCTATATATAATCACAGATTAAGTTATGTGTATTTGCCCTGTCAGCTCCTTGTTCACATAAACACACCGAGAAGCAGGAATGTTTGCTCCATCATCAGCTCTGGAGATTCAAATCAATTCAATGCCATTTATTTTTATACAGCCCTAAGTCACAACACATCATAACAGGTAAAGTATTTAGGAGTCATATTGGATCCAAATTTAGGGTTTAAACAACACTTTAAGAAATGATCATATACAGTTAAATTTAACATGGTACAGTTTCGACAAATTAGAAATTCACTTACAACAGAGGCCTCAGGAGCCTATCTTAATGCAATGATTGTTCCCCATCAATAAAGGATTGATTAATTGATTTTCTTTATTCTATGACAAGTTGGTCTCAAGATACTAAATCTGTCCTGAGGCCACTTGAGTCACTATAGAAAAACTCACAAAAAATTCACGACAACAAAGCAGACGTTTCCATCACTGTCATATTCTTACAAAACCTAAAATCTTAAGCTTTGATAACTTAATTAAACACACAAATCTTTGCTTCCTGTATAAGATCCTTCATGACACCGCTGCTCCTCCACTGAAAGAGTTTATCTTTTTAGGCTCAAACATAACAACACGAGCCACGAGATCCACCGAGCGGCGAGTGTAGGATCCTCAAACGCAGGACAGCTTTTGGAAACTCTGCTTTTTCCTGTGTGACCACTCGTCAGTGGAACATGCTGCCCACAGAGCTGATAGCAAGCACAAATGCTTACATGTTCTCACGCCTTTTAAAGAAATGGTTATTATCAAACCAAACTTGCACTCATGTCTAGCTTGTGTGAGAGAGGGGGAGGGAGAGAGAGAGAGTGAGTGTATGTGATTGACCTGTATAAATGAGCGATATGAATGCGAGGTTTTAATAAATTGTGCACGTGAAGACTTGTATTTTGACCAAATGTAAACTGTACATCCATGAATGCCCAGGGACTGCAGGTGGAAATTAGCTCTGGAGCTATAACCTGGTACAATGCATCTTTCCCTTTGAGGTTAATGCCTGCTGTTGTTGTGTCCTTGGGCAAGACACTTAACCCACTTAGCCTATAAGGAGCGCGGATATGATGTTCGCTGCATGCCTTGATGTGTATATATGTATGTACTATATGTGTATGCATCAAACTGAAATTTCCCCATTGTGGGACGAATAAAGGACCTTCTTCTTCTTCTTCTTAATGTTTATTGTACACTGTCCCTGTCATCTTAAATAAATAAACTAAACTAAAATTTACAAAGTTGTGGATTCACCAACAACAGATCAGAGAATAAAACAGGAAATGTGTTATAACAAACACAAAGGAGCCATGTGTTCACGGGGAGTGGAAGGACCTGTGTCCATAAATGTTTATAAATGTCCATGAATGTGGATCATCTGTGTCTTTAGACCCTCCTGCATACAGTATACAATTGTGTATTTCTGAACACCAGGACTGTGGTCTGAGCAGAGTCTGAACTGTGTTTGTTTCAGTGGCCTCTCTCACGACGAGATGGAGGAGGCTCAGCTGAGGATCGAGGACATCTTACAAATGGTGAGAAAAGAGAAAAAACACTTTTCCTGTTTTCGCCTTGTCTTCAGCTGTAATCCGCCCTGTGTGCCGTACCTGGGGATGTATCTGACAGACTTGGCTTTTATCGAAGAAGGAACACCCAACTTCACAGAGGAGGGTCTCGTCAAACACAAGAAATAGTTTTTTATGTAATCTTGAAATATTTGAGGAACATGTTATGTAACTCTGAAAATCAGCCAAAAGCATCTAAAGAGATTCCAAAAGAACCACTAAACTTGCAGATCCAAATGGAAGCCAAGGAAATTGCTTTTATGTAACGTTGAATTTAAATATTTAAATCAATATTCTTCCAAGTATTACAAATGCATCTGCAATACACACATGAGACGCATGAGATATTAATACTACAATTCTATTCAAACAAAAAAGTTGCTAGTGCTATTGAAAATCTAAAAAGAATTTCTATCATCACAGAGTTTCCACGTCCCAAAGCCTGCAGCGAGGGGCAGATGTCAAAAACCATATCTGTCACGGCGCCGCTTTGATAATTATAACCTCTGTGTGTGTTTGTGTGTGTGTGTGTGTGTGTCTGTGTGTGTTTTAGGCGGACTGTCCAAAAGCAGAGTGCTTCGAGTCTCTGTCTGCGATGGAGCTGGCCGAGCAGATCACTCTCCTGGACCACATCGTCTTCAGAAGCATCCCCTACGAGTCAGTCCACACTTCCTCATTTGTTATGTTGATAAAGCTGGGGTACCTAATACATCTGCTTACTCCCCCAGTCTGACAAAAGTAACGATGGGAAACAATCTGTGTCTACATCTTATTTTAATATTTGTTTATGTGGTGAGGCTTGGGGCGGAGTGAGGGTGGTCTGATCTTTTTCTCTTTTCAGTTTCTAAAAAGCTGATCTTAAATATGGGCAATGGGTTAATGAGAGATACTGAGAATGAGCCAAACACTCCCCTCTGGTGGTAGAGAAGGGAAATTGCACTCTGCTTATATCTGTGCCTAAATCTAATGGATGGCACCCAGATTAAAACAAATGCAATCTTTATGGTGAAATGTGTTTTGAAAAGGCAAACAATTCCTCTGAGATCAGCTGTGACTTTTGTGAGTTTGTGTGTGTTTTTGTATGTGGTTAAGATTAAGATCCTTTATTTATCACACAGTGGGGAAATTGCAGTGTTGCATCACCAGTCGAGGGCTTTGAGACAGAAGAGGCGGGGGTGGGGTGTGATTGTGCCTGAAGCTCCCAATATTAGCTCTGGGGGGGGGGAGAAAAACTTCCTGGTGATGGAAAAATGTTGTCTTATGGCAGCATATGTCAGAATTCTGAAACCAACCGATCTCTATGAGCATAAACTATGTCGATTAGTGAGAAAGAATAGGTTTTACAAGGATCACATGAGCAGAGCGACGGACAAAAATAGAAGCAGAGAACAGGTGATGTACCGAGCTCCATGTGTGAAAGTGACGCTGGTGCCGTGTGAATGAGTAATGACATGTGGAGCTTTTCAAAGAGGAATCTATGAAGGATGTGTGTTCATTTAATCTCGGAATCGTGATATCGAGACTATCTACTTTGGCATGTCAGGTTTTAGAACGTTCAGTGCTCTAAATGCTTCAGTATCAATATCAATATATCAATAGATACATGTATTGATATTGATATTGAAGCATTTATAGCTAGCTAAGAAACATAGCAGCTACTTATATTGTGTATTTTGTTTGCTCCCTGTGTGCTATTACTACTGTCCTGTATGTGCGCTGCAACACTGAAATTTCCCCACTGTGGAACGAATAAAGGTTCTCTTATCTCATCTTATCTCATCTTGAATAATAAAACATATATGGATAAACGTGAATCATAGTCTGATGATTTTCTAAAGTTGTAAAACACCTACCTCTGGTGGTAGACAAGGTGTATTACATTCTTCAAAAATTGACATAAAAATTGACATTACTCCTGGAGTTTTAGAAGCTTGTTTCAATCCTCTTCTGTCTTAACTCATCTCCCGGAACCTCAGAAAACCATGTATTTAACGTTATAGTTACATTGTGTTTTCCTATCCATACAAAACAGACTTTTTATTTTCAAATTGCAATCATTACAGCAGTTTTCCTGTTTGCACCCTGTCACCATTGATCTTTTGATTTGTGTTTTTCCAATTCATTTGATACGATATGACTTTCCTCTACACACCCACTTAGCAAGCCCCAAAATAATACATACAACTCAGTGTATTTGATAGGTAATATAAATGATTGAGTAAGAATATTGCCTATTGACTTTTCTGATCAAAATGCACGATTAATTAATTAGTTACTCCTATGTTTATGACAGTTTAGGACAAGCCATAGATAGTGTTGTTGTTGTTGCAATCTTACGGAACTCTTAAAAAGATTTCAATCAGCATTGATGAAGGAAAAACCAACTCCAGATCCCTTTTTGACAAAGAACCAAGTTGCAACAGCACAAAAAAAAAAAATCACCTTTGCATCACATGTATCCTTAAAGGTAGTAGGAGGATTTTACCAAATTTTTCGTAAAGAACCTCCCTCTCGACTTTTTGAACAAAACTCTGTGATCTTATTTGACGAGGACCATTAGTTTGGATGATCCACCCAGAAGTAGAAAACCCCCCTGTATACCTTTAAGTTAAAGTAGTAGCATTATTCTCATGTCCGTGTTGTTTCTTTTGTCTGCAGAGAGTTCCTGGGCCAGGGCTGGATGAAAGTGGACAAGACCGAACGCACTCCGTTCATTATGAAAACCAGCAAACACTTCAATGATGTGAGAAAAACTCTGTAAAAGAAGTCACCTGAAGCACGATTTCAGACTCTTGGGCACAGACTCTGATCATTAACCTTTTAGATTTCCCCCAATAACTATTCCCTCTAAATACTGAAAAGTATGATGCTTTTTCTTAATATTTTTCTAAATATTAATGATTTTTGATGATTTGAATGAGTAAAGCGTAAAGCGTGTCCCTCAAAACACCTTAAAAGGGTGTCATTAAATATTGTTAACAGACGCAGCATCTGAGTTTCAGCACCAAAAGTGTTCGAGGCCCAGATTTTCAGCCCTAAAAAATCAAAACCAACAGATTAAAGACCTTTCCAGGAGGTGGAGAAGTCCTGAAGTGGAGGAGTTTCTAGAATCTCGTGGTCGTGTTCAGGAGTGAGGGAAGGATGGAGCATGTGCAGTGATGCGGCCGCTGTATCGGATTATTGTGGTGAAGAGGGAGCAGCGTCTCCAGTCAGAGCTATATCGATCTATTTTGGTGGTATGGAAGCACGAGCTACGTCGAAAGGCAAAGCTCTCGACATACTGCTCAGTCTACCTTCCCTCTTTTGACCGAAAGGACGAGATCGCGGATACAAGCGTCTTTATTAGGTTCCTTCGCAGAGTGGCTGGGCGCTCCTTTAGAGATAGGGGGAGGAGCTCAGTCACACAGGAGGAGCTCGGAGTAGAGCTGCTGCCGGTGGAAGACCCAGGACACGCTAGAGGGACTGTGGAAGTGCTTCTCTGCTTGTACAGCTTCCCCTGCAACCTGGCATCGGATAAAGCGGAAGGAAATCTATGGATGGAAAGATTTGAGAATTGCAATATCCCCGCTACGATTGTTTTAATGAACAAAATGTCATCTATACCTTCAAGAACATTGGAGACTTCTAAAAAATATTATCTTCATTTAGTGTATTTAATTGTAGTTTTTGTTGTTGTTTTCCGATTGAGTTTTCTTAATCTACTCCTTAAGGATGTATCTAAAGTAACAATTCTTCCGACTTCCCGTTGGTCACTGTCGGGTCTCTCCTGCAGATGAGTAACCTGGTGGCGTCTCAGATCATGACGCACACAGACGTGGGGTCCAGGGCCAGCTCCATAGAGAAGTGGGTGGCGGTGGCCGACATCTGCCGCTGCCTCAACAACTACAACGGGGTCCTGGAGATCACCTCAGCCCTGAACCGCAGCGCCATCTACAGGCTGAAGAAGACCTGGGCCAAAGTCAGCAAGCAGGTGTGTGTGTGTGTGCTGGGAGAGTGTGGCGGGGAGTAAGATCTGTCCTAGTGCTAAACTGTCGGTGTGTCTTTGGGCAAGACACCTCACCCACCAAGAGCAACACCAATTATCTACCATCTCGCTCCCATTTGTGTGTGAATGAGAAGAATAATGCTCAAAATTGATTGATTGGATAAAGATTACTTACGTTCATACCAAAAACATTAATATGCCTAGTTATGGCTCTGCTACCCTCTTCACCAACATTACGACCACCCCCCCCCTCCCTTGGGTTATAGCACCTCAACTCGTCCTATGTTTTTACTATTATTATTATTATTATTATTAGGCCCGAGCCCCAACCGGGGTAAGGGCCTATTGCTTTTCCAACGAGTAATGCCTGGGCGAAGCCCAGGCATTACTCGTTGAACTGTTTTAAGTCACAATCTCCGGGCGCAGCCCGGAGATTGTGACCTGCACGCGACGGCACGTGCCCAAGCACTGATAAATCCGTGCCGGAGGCACGGAATGGCTTTGTTCCTGCTCTAGTACACAGTGAAATTATTGAAGTCCTATTAAAGGGGGGTTCCTTCAACTGTTTTACGGACGAATGTCCGGGCGAAGCCCGGACATTCGTCCCCCAAGCCCGACGGCGCGTGCCCAGACACTGACAAAACAGTGCCGGAGGCACTGAATGGCTTTGCTCCTGCTGTAGTACACAGTGTAATGAATGGGGTCCTATGGGGGGGGTGGGTGACCTCATGATGGCGAGGTGATTGACGAGCGCGTCAGCGCTCGTCAATCACCGAGAACCCAATAGTTGCGTTCGCCTTGTCGTTCGCTTTAAAACGACGTATCATTTGTATTATAGGTTACTATGGAAACCTATATTGTTTTTGCTCGAAGTTTAAAAAAAAAAATTCCTTGGTTTATTTATTTATTAGGCCCGAGCCCCAACCGGGGTAAGGGCCTATTGCTTTTCCAACGAGTAATGCCTGGGCTTCGCCCAGGCATTACTCGTTGAACTGTTTTAAGTCACAATCTCCGGGCGCAGCCCGGAGATTGTGACCTGCACGCGACGGCACGTGCCCAAGCACTGATAAATCCGTGCCGGAGGCACGGAATGGCTTTGTTCCTGCTGTAGTACACAGTGAAATATTGAAGTCCTATTAAAGGGGGGTTCCTTCAACTGTTTTATGGACGAATGTCCGGGCGAAGCCCGGACATTCGTCCCCCAAGCCCGACGGCGCGTGCCCAGACACTGACAAAACAGTGCCGGAGGCACTGAATGGCTTTGCTCCTGCTGTAGTACACAGTGTAATGAATGGGGTCCTATGGGGGGGGTGGGTGACCTCATGATGGCGAGGTGATTGACGAGCGCGTCAGCGCTCGTCAATCACCGAGAACCCAATAGTTGCGTTCGTCTGGTCGTTCGCTTTAAAACGACGTATCATTTGTATTATAGGTTACTATGGAAACCTATATTGTTTTTGCTCGAAGTTTAAAAAAAAAAAATTCCTTATTATTTCTTTCTTTCTTTCTTTCTTTCTTTCTTTTTTCTTCTGCGCTTTGAACCTTAATTTGACCCCCTGAACATTGATGAAAAGTTGTGAAATTTTGCCCAAAATTCAGAACCGGTGAAAAATTAATTTTTTTGGTGTTTATTTTTATGGGACTAAAAAAATGTCAGAATAGCGCCCCCTACAAAAGTCAGTTTACATTGCGCCTATGGGAGGGGGTCGAAGGTCAAGTTTGTCGTAGAGCCACGAAATTCGGTACACATGTTCCTCAGGCCAAGACATGAAAAAAAAGTTATTATGGCTCCGCCCCCTGACAAACAGGAAGCTCATTAATTTAATTGGAAAATGGAAAAATGAAAATTGATATTTTTCACACATGTCGGCTGGAAATTATCTCCTCCTCGGCCGCTTCACCGATTTGTCTCAAAATCGCTCCACATGGTCTAAACCCATGTCCCATCTATTATTGAATATAGAATTTGGATCAATTAAACGTTGTCCGAGCAGCGGAGCGGCAAAATGTGACATTTTTTTCCCAATTTTTGACAAAAGTAAATTTGCTCCCGTTTGCACAAACAAAGTCGGATTTGCACCAAATTTTAATCCATTGTTCAGCTCCAGGGTCTAGGTCATCTGAAAGTGGAAATATTGAAATTGGCTCATTAGCGCCCCCTACAGACTATGTAAAAGTTTTACATGGGCTTTTTAAATTTAGTTTTGTCAAAATGTTTGAAATTTTGCACATAATTCTGTTTTGTCATCTGGATTCAAAAAGTCGATGACAACATATGATTATTTTTTACCCTGTTGCCGTGGCTACGACCAACACTCCCCTGTCTGTGTCTATGAGAAAATCGTTAAATCTCTGAAAAGTACACCTCGCTCAAACATCAAACCAGCCACGGCCGTTTCCCTAATTTGTCTGAAAATCGCTCCACATGGTGTCCACACATGGACCATCAATAGTTGCATATAGAGTTTTAATTAGTCAAACGGTCTGAGCGTGACAGACCCCCAAAGTGTGGTCATTTTCATAGAGAGGTGTGAAGTTCCCATGTTATCCAATGGAGACTGTATGGACACACTCACAGATTGTATGTGCTCCTGTTTGCACATTTACAAAGTCTGATTTGCACTAAACTTGACTCGGTTGTTCAACTCCTGGACCTAGGTCACATGACAGTGTGAACAATGACATTGGCCCATTATCGCCCCCTACAGGCTGAGTAAAGGTTTACATGGGGATACAGGTATTTAGGTTTTATGTTGTTTGATCTCATATTTGACCCACATAACAAACATAAAAAATCACCAAACTTTGCCACAAGTTTTTTTCAGGCATGAAGTGTATTATTTGGTGTCCTTTGGTATAACACTAATAAAATGAAATTGTAGGGGGCGCTGTTGTACAACATTAAATGCCACCATTTGCACATACAAAGTCCGATTTGCACAAAATTTGAATTGATTGTTCAACTCTCGGGTTTGGGTAAACTGAAAGTGTAAATCATGAAATTGCAGCAATAGCGCCCCCTAGAGACTGAGTCAAGTGTTACATGGGGAAAATGAGGTATATCTTTTGATCAGAGACACACAATCACTAATCATACTAATTCAAAATGCACAGTGTCGCTCCCATCAGGGGGGGAAAAAAATGGCGCGTCAGCGCCACCTCCTTTGCGCGGTGCGGCGAGGGCCGTTAGATGCCGCTTGCGGCTTTAATTAGGCCCGAGCCCCAACCGGGGTAAGGGCCTATTGCTTTTCCAACGAGTAATGCCTGGGCGAAGCCCAGGCATTACTCGTTGAACTGTTTTAAGTCACAATCTCCGGGCGCAGCCCGGAGATTGTGACCTGCACGCGACGGCACGTGCCCAAGCACTGATAAATCCGTGCCGGAGGCACGGAATGGCTTTGTTCCTGCTGTAGTACACAGTGAAATGATTGAAGTCCTATTAAAGGGGGGTTCCTTCAACTGTCTTACGGACGAATGTCCGGGCGAAGCCCGGACATTCGTCCCCCAAGCCCGACGGCGCGTGCCCAGACACTGACAAAACAGTGCCGGAGGCACTGAATGGCTTTGCTCCTGCTGTAGTACACAGTGTAATCAATGGGGTCCTATGGGGGGGGTGGGTGACCTCATGATGGCGAGGTGATTGACGAGCGCGTCAGCGCTCGTCAATCACCGAGAACCCAATAGTTGCGTTCGTCTGGTCGTTCGCTTTAAAACGACGTATCATTTGTATTATAGGTTACTATGGAAACCTATATTGTTTTTGCTCGAAGTTTAAAAAAAAAAATTCCTTGGTTTATTATTTCTTTCTTTTTTCTTCTGCACTTTGAACCTTAATTTGACCCCCTGAACATTGATGAAAAGTTGTGAAATTTTGCCCAAAATTCAGAACCGGCGAAAAATTAATTTTTTTGGTGTTTATTTTTATGGGACTAAAAAAATGACAGAACAGCGCCCCCTACAAAAGTCAGTTTACATTGCGCCTATGGGAGGGGGTCGAAGGTCAAGTTTGTCGTAGAGCCACGAAATTCGGTACACATGTTCCTCAGGTCAAGACATGAAAAAAAAGTTATTATGGCTCCGCCCCCTGACAAACAGGAAGCTCATTAATTTAATTGGAAAATGGAAAAATGAAAATTGATCTTTTTCACACATGTCGGCTGGAAATTATCTCCTCCTCGGCCGCTTCACAGATTTGTCTCAAAATCGCTCCACATGGTCTAACCCCATGTCCCATCTATTATTGAATATAGAATTTGGATCAGTTAAACGTTGTCCGAGCAGCGGAGCGGCAAAATGTGACATGTTTTTTCCAATTTTTGACAAAAGTAAATTTGCTCCCATTTGCACAAAAATAGTCAGATTTGCACAAAATTTTAATCCATTGTTCAGCGCCAGGGTCTAGGTCATCTGAAAGTGGAAATATTGAAATTGGCTCATTAGCGCCCCCTACAGACTATGTTAAAGTTTTACATGGGCTTTTTAAAATTTAGTTTTTTCAAATTGTTGGAAATTTTGCACATAATTCTGTTTTGTCATCTGGATTAAAAAAGTCAATGACAACATATGATTTTTTTTTACCCTGTTGCCGTGGCAACGACCAACACTCCCCTGTCTGTGTCTATGAGAAAATCGTTAAATCCCTGAAAACTACACATCGCTCAAACATCAAACCAGCCGCGGACGTTTCCCTAATTTGTCTGAAAATCGCTCCACATGGTGTCCACACATGGACCATCAATAGTTGCATATAGAGTTTTAATTAGTCAAACGGTCTGAGAGTGACAGACTCCCAAAGTGTGGTCATTTTCATTGAGAGGTGTGAAGTTCCCATGTTATCCAATGGAGACTGTATGGACACACTCACAGATTGTATGAACAAACAGGAGCACATTTACAAACTCTGATTAGCACTAAACTTGACTCGGTTGTTCAACTCCTGGGCCTAGGTCACATGACAGTGTGAACAATGACATTGGCCCATTAGC